AAACATTTGTCTGGTTTAAAAGTTAATTATACTAAAAGTCAGCTTATTTGGATTGGTAGTAAAAGGTTCTGTGAAGAAAAGTTAATGAATAATACAGAACTGATTTGGGGAAGTAAATCCTTTCAAGTTCTAGGAATAGAATTTAATGTTGACTTAGATCAAATGCTAAAAGCAAATTACAACTCAAAAATAATGTCCATTCAGAGTTTATTAAATCAATGGAAAAGAAGGAATCTTACACCATTAGGACGAATAACAGTCATTAAGTCTCTAGCTTTGTCAAAAATAGTACATTTGTTTATATCCTTACCAACCCCACCTAAAAATATTTTTGAAAAACTAAATCATATCTTTTTTGAATTCTTATGGAATAGCCCAGTTTCTAAAATTAAAAAATCTGTGGTTACTCAAGAATATGTGAATGGGGGATTGAAAATGGTTAATGTTGAACATTTTAATGCAAGTATGAAAATATCATGGATAAAAAAAATAATCAAAGCTAAAGCCAAATGGCAGTCAGTTATTGGATCAGATATTGATATTTCGCAATTGATTATATTTGGACCAAGTTATTGTTTGCAGAGAGTTAATAAATATAAAAATCAGTTTTGGATTGATGTATTTAAGTCATGGAAACAGCTGTGTACATGTTATGAAAAGAAGAACATGGCCAAAGAAATGTGCAAAAATGTTTTATGGTTTAATGAAAATCTTAAGGTGAATAAAAGTCTATTTTTATATAATCATGGTTTGAAAATAACGTTCATACTGTTGATTCGTTGTTGGATGAAGAGGGCAAGTTTATGACCTACAACAATTTCATTAATGTATACAAAAATGTAAAAACAAACTTTTTAGAATTTTTAAGTGTAACACAAGCAATTAAAAAATGTATGAAAGACTTCTCAGTTACAAACTTAAATAAAGAACAAGAACCTTTTATTCCATTACATATTATCCCTCTTCTATTGGATAATAAAGAAAATAAGAAAGTATACAGAATTCTAAATGATAGTGGAGAAAAGCCCACTGGTCAAAAAAATGCGATCAGCAGTTTTTAATATCAAAACAAGGGTGGGAAAGAATAAATTCAAATGTTTTTAATGTGACCAGTGATAGAAGGTTACAGTGGTTGCAATACAGAATAAATCATAAAATCTTAACAACAAACACCTTTTTGAAAAAAATTAAGAAAATAGATAATGATTTATGCAGCTTTTGTAATAGAGAAAGTGAAACACTAGACTCCTCTTTTATGAATGTGTAGAAGTAAATACATTTTTAACAAATGTTTATGCTTGGTTTAATGATTTTTTTCATTGGATATTGTAATTGACAAGAAAACATTTTTGTTTGGTTGTGCTGAAAGTGAAATGATTAATTTAATAATTTGTCATTTGAAATATTATATATACTGTTACAGATGTAAAGAAAATCCTTTATATTTAAACAAATTTAAAGCTGTATGGATTAATTTGTATAAAATTGAAAAACAAAGAGCAGTTAAAAACAAATGTACTAGATTATTTGATGAGAAATGGAAGGTTTTCACAAAACTGGATGAATAAGTTTGTATATGTATGAGTAGTTTGTAATATTGTTTCAAAGTATATTTATATCTCTGTATTTCTCCTTGATTCAATTTTTCTGCAATAATATTAGATGAGTGAATGCAAATATATGCCAATTAATGTATGCACAGCTGATTTTTTTCAAGTTGTTAGATTTAAATTTTATTTTCTTGTTAGGAAAAATACCCAAACATACATAGATAGAAACATATTTGAGTAGAACTATGTTTTATATTTAAAAAAAATGATGTAACTATATCAAACAATGTATATATGTTTTGTATAAAAAACAGCCAGAGTAACCTTCTTCCTCTCCTTCTCTTTTCTTCTGCCTTTTGAGTGAATGTCTATCTGTATATATGGGTGAGTGAATGTGACATAAGTTATAACACCCCATACCCCCTAGTCAGGTTGGGTTGTAGGGGTAATGTAAAACCCTGGCTTATATTTGAATAAATATATATATAATATATATATATATATATATATATATATATATATATACCCAGTATTGAACAAAAAATATATAATTAAATGTACATACATTGCGTGCAAAATTCACTTAATATATACCCTTTATACAATATTCTCAAAATCCAGCAAAAAAAATGTAGAGTATAGAGGTTTCATTAATACCATACTACAAGAGGCCCATGGGCCACATCGCTCACCTGAGTAATCTTGGTGATTTTACCAGATCTTACAAGTTCTTTACCAGATTTCCCCTCTTCTTACAACTATTGTGGAGCCCTACCCCTCCTGACACCCCTTCTTTTTTTTTTTTAATAATTTAGAATCTACACTACCCAAGGATGCTTCAACATGATTTTCAGCTTTCCTGGCCCACTGTTTGATAAGAAGATGTTTCCTATATATTTCTATGTAAAACTTGGATTCCCTATGTGCCCCGCCCCACCCCCGGGGTCATGATTTTAACAATTTAAAATCTACACTACCCAAGGATGCTTCCACATACGTTTCAGCTTCCCATGTCTGCTGATTCTTGAGAAGAAGATATTTAAAGATTTTTCCAATATATTTCTCAGTTAATCTCGGATTCCCTATGGTGGCCCCGCCCTACCCCCGGGGTCATGAGTTTTATAATTTAGAATCTACACTACCCAAGGATGCTTCCACATAAGTTTCAGATTTTCTTGTCTAATGGTTCTTGAGAAACAGATTTTTAAAGATTGTTCCTATATATTTCTATGTAACACTTGAATTCCCTAAAGTGACCCGCCCTACCCCCAAGGGTCGTGAATTTTACTATTCAGAATCTACACTACCACAGGAAACTTTCCTATAAGTATCAGCTTTTCTGGCACAGCCGTTCTTAAGAAGATTTTTAATGACCCCTAACTATTTTTGTATTTTCTCGATTATCTCCCCTTGGAAGGGGATCTGGCCCTTTATTTTAACAATTTTAATTTTTTAAGAATGCTTTGTACAAAGTTTGGTAAAAATTGGCCCAGTGGTTCTTGAGAAGAAGTTGAAAATGTGAAAAGTTAACAGACGGACGGACAGACAGACTGACGACAGCTAGACTGACGACGGACAATGGATAATCAGAAAAGCTCACTTAAGCTTTCAGCTCAGGTGAGCTAAAACGGTATCAATATAAGCTGTTTGGAATCGTTCAAAGGGGAACAACTTTCAAAATTATTTTTTTCTGTTGGAAATAGAACTTAAAAAATTGAAACCAGTTTTTAAAATGTTGCCACGATCCCAATTCTGAGAATTTTTCTGTCTAAATTCGGGTTCAAGTGTTTACACATATTTCATTTCCGCTGAAAAGAGAATGCAACAAAATACATCTTTTAAAATATTTAAGAGCTCATTAATACAAGTCTTTGAATGCTGAAACCATATATACAGCTGTAGTTTATGATATGTCTTAACGGTCTATTAAATATAATTTAGGTAAGGTATTCCTCCTTAAACAATATCCCTTTTAAAATACTTTGAGTCACTTCCAGTTGAGCTTACCTTAAACTCTATAGCAGACAGATTATTACCTTGTCTAAAACTACTGATGGATCGAAAATCATGCTAACAAATGTATGGGCGAGAAGATTTACTTTCATATATTTGAACCAGTAGCAATTATGAAATTCAATATTTCAGATATTTGATTATAATTTCGCAATAATATTGTTTTAAATTTTGTGTTATGCAAATGTCAAATATTTAAAAGGTACATTGTTTCCAAACCTTTTACAATAAGAAATTCTTATTGTAAAAGGTTTGGAAACAATGAACCTTTTAAATATTTGAGGAAAAAATTCGGTTTTTTTTTTTTTTTTTTTTTTTTTTTTTTGAATAGAAAAGCTGTCGCTTTAAAAAAAATACTATATGACGTTATTTCCAGTAAAGCTTGATTATATTTTGGAAATGCTGTTTAATTTATATTTTTGATTTTGATTTATAGGGAATTGAATAATTTTACTTTCACCCCGTTCGCTGTTTTGATTAAGTAAGAGTAAATTTAATATAATCTTGTAATACCACGGAATGTACTGTAGATTTTTCAGATGAATTGAATTGAACATATTTTATTGACAATTAAAGCCAGAAGGATAAGACTCAAGTTCTAACAACTTAGATAGTCTTCTCCTTATACAAACTTTTATAACATTGCCAAAATAAAGAACAATAATTTTTAGTAACAAATCAATAAGTAGTGCCAAAAACTGTAAACTCTTGGATACATTTCTATATATACAAAATAATTAAGATTTTTCAGAGAATCTATCACATTCTTTTAAAAAGGTATGAATAACTTTAAAAATTTCTACATTTTGTTGATCAGATTATGATTCAATACCCCATAACATCAAATGGACATCTATAATGTACAAATTGTTGAATGATAATAAATTATTCATTAGAGAATATCTTGCCGTTGCATATTTTCTACAACAAAAAACAAATGATAGGGATCCTCTATTTGTCTACATGACCAATTTGGATTGTCTATTAAATTACAGCGAAATACTAGTAGGTCAGAATTTAAAATACAATTATGTCTTAACCTTGTGTGAATAATATTCCAAAATCTCTTTCCAAAAGAAAAATACCTTCGAGGTTTTACAATATTGCTTGACAAGCATTTTTAAAAACTTTCCATGGAAGTTGCCTCCCTTATGTTGAGTTGAAGTGCATTCCACTTTCTGACTGTATCTGAAATAGAGGATTTATTGAATAATTCTAATCTGCATTTTGGCAAAGAATAATTCGAAGAATTTCTAGTAGAATATTGTGAAATATTGCCTCTATCAGGTACTATATTTTGAATGTAAAAATAGGTACTAAATTGTTGTGTATTTTGTACATTTTTCAGATGTAATGTAAATGTATATATATAAAGTCTTCCGGGTCTTTAAATCTAAAAATAGAAAACAGATAATGTTTTTATTTATAACACAAAGCGAAAGTACTGCTCAGGAAATGTCATGGTGATAATAAAGATATTTTCCTGAACAGGTTTGAATCTTTTACGTACAATTCATTGAATCCTTTAATTGTAAAATGGTCGACTTTTCCGGGACCGTAAGCTCTTTCTTATGTCACTCTGATTAGAGATTTATACAGATATATGATAGGAATAATTATATTATCGAAATAAAGGTATAATATTTCCTTATACATTTGAAGATCATTAAGCCTATAGAATAATGAAAAATTAGATTGAAAAAAAGAAGATATTAATATCGCATGCACTTTTTTTTTTACTAAATTTAACCCATAGTGTTATAATCCAAAGTCATATTCCAAATAACATCTAGTATTTTTTTTCAATAATTAAACAGTCAATTACACTTTCAAAAAATGCTATGGGAAACCATAATCAACATTTTTATGATAATTTACGAAAATATACACAACCAAATTCAGCATGTTTTTGTTTATCTTCTTAATGGCGTCAAAATCTCGTTTACAAAAAATCAATTTGTATTCAACATTCCTTTCAGGTCTTATAATAAATGAAGCCTGTGTATCCTTTATTCGTTCAATAAAAGGATACTTTAAATATGACCCGTTAAACCCTTGAAAAGGCACTTTCGTCAGGCAGGTTTAAAATTGTTGATTTCTTTTTTCAATTAAATATTTGAAAAATGGATTGTCCCAAAAATTCGTAGACCGCGGTTTAAACACTCTAGAAATACCTACCAAATTTGCATACCGGCCTATTATTTATTGAATTTCCTATCAATATATAAATAATTATGAAATAATTATCCTTCATCGTAATATAAACATACATTTAACATTTTCTCATTTATTTTTAGCTGATTGGCTAAGATTGTTAGTATTATTAACATTCATACTTTTTAAAAGAAAATATGTTCAAATCATGACCCCGGGGGTTGAGTGGGGCCATAATAGGGAATCAACCTTTTATAAAGAAATATATGGGGAAAAACTATGAAATAATCTTATATATGGGGAAAATCTTTGAAATAATCATTCTTCTTCTCAAGAACTACTTGGCTAGAAAAGCTGAAACTCATGTGGAAGCATCCTTAGGTAGTGTAGATTCTAAATTGTTAAAATCATGACTTCCGGGTGTTGGGCGGGGCCACAATGGGGAATAAAATTTTTACATAGAAATATATAGGAAAACACTATGAAATTCTTCTTCTCAAGAAAAACTGAAACCTATGTGGAAACACCCTGGGGTAGTGTAGATTAAAAATTGTTCAAATCTTGACCCTCGGAGGTTGGGCTGGGTCCCATTAGGAAATCAACGTTTTACAAAGAAATAGGGAAAAAAAACTTGAAAATTCTTCTCAAGAACTACTTTGCCAGAAAAGCTAAAACTTATGTGGAAGCATTCTTGGGTAAAGTAGATTCTATATTGTTCAAATCATGACCCCCGGGTGTATGGCGGGGCCACAATAGGGAATCAACATTTTACATGGAAATATATAGAATGTGAAAACATCCTGGGGTAGTGTAGATTTTAAATTATTCAAATCATGACCCGCAGGGGTTGGGCTGGACCACAATAGGGAATCAACGTTTTACAAAGAAATAGGGAAAAAACTTTAAAATTCTTCTCAAGAATGGAAATATATAGAAAAAAAACTTTGAAAATTTTCTTCTCAAGAACTACTTGGCCGGAAAAGCTGGAACTTATGTGGAAACATCCTGGTGTAATGTAGATTCTAGATTGTTTAGATCATGCCCCCCCCGGGGGGGGGCGGGGGGGGGGTTGGAGTTGGATGGGGCCACAACAGGGATTCAACTTTTTACATAAAATATATAGGGAAAAAACTTTAAAATCTTCTTCTCAAGAACTACTTGGCCAGAAAAGCTGAAACATCCTAGGGTAGTTTAGACTTTAAATTGTTCAAATTATGACCCGTGGGGTATGATGGGGTCACAAAAGGTGTTACAAGGATGAAATCTGATTTAGAAGGGTATGGTTAAAGCTTCTCAGGTGAGCGATGTGGTCCATGGGCTTCTTGTTTACCATGGTTCCGACCTTTTTGTTCTTGAAAAAGTTGATAATGCCGATATAGAACTTCTTTTTGACATTTTAGAGGTAAGTCGGTGCTATTTAGAATGTACACTGTTTGTCCGAAATATTACATACCAGCGTTACAGTCCATTTGACCTTGACCCTTGACCTTCCTTGCAAAAATACGACAGATGGTTACATTTTATTTATGTTTTTAGAATAAAGAGGGGTATAGATTTGATTTTTAGCATTATTACATATTTATATGCTCATGACAATGTACTCTGACACTGCATGAAATACAAAAACCACAAAAACAAAAACAAAAATAATATGAAAATACATCGGGATCTGTATTCGAAAATAAGTAAAGACAGAACTGAAGTATCTTTTGAAGAATTGTTGAAATCACTTTCTTATTAAATTAATTAATAAATATTAATTGATAATACATGTAATTTAAATTTCATTAATATCTTTTTAGGTTGGAGGGGGGGGGGGGGGTAGGAATTTGTATTTCTATTTGATTGTAAAATTTTATCGCCTCATGTGATTTAAATTTTTATTTATTATTTTTTTCATGAAATATATGTGTGTACATGTAGCAGATAAATAGCTGACCATTCTTAGATTTAGTTCTATATTAAATGAATCTAAAAGCAGGAGACACATACCGTCCTTGAATAAAGTTATGCTTCCGTTTCAGATTTCTTCATGATAATCGATACATCAACATGGACCATATCCCTCGAATATCAGAAGCGGTCTATGTGGGACTGTGTCGTCAACTAGGAACCCCAACAGAAGTCAGGGTTCAGGAGAGAGATAATGGATACTGCGGAGGATGTAAACAGACCTGTGGAAATAATGAAGGGTCTAGAGAATATACAGAGTGGAAGTTGGCGTGAGGGATTCCGAATACCTACCTCAGATATAGATATGATGCATTGGTCTTCATATCATAAGGTTATTTGTGAAAACTTTCAGATTAATCTCTACCGTAGCCCAAAACACACTTTGATTCTGATGGAGTGCAATGATCTACCCCCAGGATTTTCCAAACTAATTTTGATTGGTCAAGCAAAGGATGAAATCTTAGGAAACTCATGTATTATTATCAATAATGAAGTTTATATATCGAGTTGTTTATTTCGTGAATATACTTTGCGTTCCCTCCATAACATCTCATTTACTCCTTCATTGAGAAATGTATCTCATGGTCCTTGTTTTACATATGTCATAGCCCAGCACAAAGAAATAGACAATGTACTTTGTTTACGGTCACACCACTGGCCGACAGACGCTCTACCATGGATGCAGAGATGTCATCAACAAGGTTGGCCAGTCGAGAATGTTCTATCAGAAATACTACGTGGAGGATTCCATGTTGTTCCTATAGGAAGCACTCCTGAAAACGAAGAAGAATGGAGAATCTCATTCTCTCGAGCAGAACAAAAACTCGTTTACTCAATGGATCACTGTCAGTTTTTGTGTTATGGTCTCTTTAAAATATTTCTTAAAGAGGTCATTAATTCTCAGTGCAATACACAAGTTCTATCTTCGTACTATATAAAAACAGTTGTATTCTGGGTAATTCAGACGAAAAGGTCTTTGGCTTGGACACCTGAAAACCTATTAGCTTGTTTTTGGGAATGCTTTAAACTATTGATATACTTTGTTCATAACGGAGAATGCCCAAACTTTTTTATTCCACAAAACAACATGTTTCGACTGAAAATCACCGGTTCTGTGCAAGCTTCATTGTTCAGACAGTTGTGTTATCTGTATTATGAAGGGATATCATGTCTTCTGTTTAGTCCAACCCTCAGACGTTTTCTTAGTATTCCCATTGTAAACAGAACATTGAGTGTCTGTACAAACGAGGTCAGGTTCATATCTAGCGCTGAATTAGATATGAGCTTTGTCAGAGAACTACCTGTGTTTCAACATAAATTATCCTGTTATAAGAAAATTTTAGTTTGTATGAAACACATAGAGAGGGTGATTAGGGGAAGGTTGACACCGTATCAGACAGTTACTTTACAGTGTTTAACATCAGATATTTTAAGGAAAACTGCCATGTTTATAGAGAATTCTATACATCCTACCGGTGCTTTAACACAAAACAAGGTTTATTACAAAGCCAACAAAGAATCACAATTTCTTAAACTTTCATGCAAATTTGGTTATGTGTCTGATACTCTGTATCTTGCTATGTACTTCTACAGAACATGGAGGTATGAGCAATCATTTAAGTGTTTAAAGAAAGTGCAGAAGAAGATGTCATTGCCATTTGTTATACATTATAATCATGTTGATGTAGATGCGTATCGACAGCACATGGTAGGCAAGTCTCTTTGCTACAAATTCAGGAGAGCTTCAATAAAAAATATTGACTTTTTTAATGAGTACACTTACATTGATGAACTAGTATTAGAACAGAAAATCAGTGAAAAGAACGGAGTATTTACCTTGCTTATCCCGCCTCTAGTGATGTTACACACGTTGTTTATACTGAATCACCACAGACTGGGTGACACAGTCAGGTCACACCAATCTATACAGGATCTACAGACTCTGCTGCTGCAAGATGACGGAGTTTACATAGAGACAATGCTCAGAGATATCTCTTGGCAAATACTGGGGATCTGTCAACAAATCGGTGGAGACCTCGAAGGTGCTCGAGAGTCTTTTCTAAATTCGTTAAAAGAAATACCACTGCACCAAATCCAGGAGGCGACAAAATTGAGAATGTCCACACGTACTTATGGAGAAAATTTTACATGCTAGTATTACTTTTGTAATAACATTGTAATTGCTTGAAGATCATCAACACTTTTCTTGATAGAGACTACATGCATATGTTTTCCAGTTGTATCATTTGTTTTCATTTTTTTTTTTGTATTTCAATGCTTTCATAGATTAACATGTTATTTTTTATAAGCTCTATGGTACAAATTGTTTTATTCAAGCAGATAATGCTTATGATTTTAATTTTTTAGGTTTGAAAATAAAGTTGATTTAAATTTGCAATAATGATGTTCTAGTTTATAGAAAGAGAATGACACTTACAATTAAGGATTCAAAGTATAGGATATATGAACTATACAGCACCGTTAATGTGACACACTAATAGGAGAGTCATGGTTGACAAGAGACTGAATATAGTTGAATTATGTTCTTTCAAAGTTAACAAAGAATCAAAGAGGATCGGGGTGATTTATTGTGGATAGTGACAACTTTGGCAACTGGCAAATAGCCACATTGTTTACCCGAGTCTGTGTGTACTGAATTGTAGCAACAGGCAGGTGACAAGGCATATGAATACCTTACAAAATAGGCAAGTGTCCATTGTATTTGTATATTTTGCCTTCATTATTATCCCTGTAAGACTATGAACGCAAGGAGATCACTTGAATGCAGCAAATTACAATAAGCAAGGGTATTTTAACCAAGTTTTTGAAAATCTTTTGTTACATGGCTTCGTCTATAAGTTAATTTTGTTTTATGCTTCAATAAATCCTTTATAGTATTGTATAATACTCAGGTGACCATTAAGACCCTTGGGCCTCTTGTCTTCTTCAGTATGGGTATGTATGTTATGTCAAAAACGTAGTTTCTCGCTGATAATTTTTGTGTAGATAAAGTGCTCAGCAAGTATTGGGTGGTATAGCACAGAATATTTCCCGAATCTGTGTCACGTCATTACGTCTCTGACGGCAATGTACAGAAAATCACGAATACTTATGGCCCCTTCCAAAGAGGCGGCATTTTGGCAATGTTAAATCCCCGTAGACTTTAAAATTGACGCCTTCTGAATACACTTGTTGACATCGGGGGTATATTTAAAAGAAGAATGTTGGGGGAAAATCAATCTACCGATCAAACCTAGTCTGAAGACTGAGGTATTTATGTATTTTGAGATATATTGCAAAAAGTAGCGATGTTCCAATTGTAGGACAGATTAATGACATTTTAGTGAATAAAAAAATTGTATTGTGTGTTAAACTATGTTTTTGTGTAAAAAGCCATAATTTACAGGTATAAAATCAACAAGACTAAAAATAGTCCTTAACAATGTGAAAAAATGTATGTTAAGATTCAATATCACCAACCATCGAGCATTTAACGGAAAGTTAAAAATTTTAGTTTATAGTTGATGTTGTCCTACCTAATTCTCAAACACACTTACAATTATTTTGAAAATAAAAAGGGACTGGTATCGAAGGAAATCCAAATTTCAAGACAATTCTTGCCTCATTTGAATTTACGTTTTTCCATATGTTACGTTTTATTTTCATGGTTGAAATGATGCAGAATAATAATAACCGTTTCATTGGAGGTTTAGCACATTTCATTTCTACAAAATATTTCTTTTTTATAATAACTAATAAAACAACAATAATTTGTTACATAATACATGTGATAGGTCTCAATATACAAGACTAACCATCAGAAACAGATTAAATAGATGCGTATAAGTTTCTTTGATTTCTCCAAATGCCCTTAATCATTTCTACAAAAAGTATTTTTTAACAATAAACCAATCACCTGATGCATCATGGGTCTCATAAATAATCCTTAACACACAGTTATTCACAGGCGTATCTTTCTTTGAGGTTTAGAAAGTTTAAATTAAAATTCCAATGTGCTCAATTTACCTCTACTCAATGTTTCGTTTGACAATAAACCAATTAACTGTGACATCATGTGTCTAATTCAATGTGATATTGTGTTTAACAATAAACCAATTACATATTACATTATGTGCCTCGCTTTAGTCTAATGTGCTCATTTCAATTCTATGTGATATTGTGTTTAACAATAAACCAATTACATATTATATTATGTGCCTCATAATAAATTTAGAAGAAACATGACCTATGCATAAATAATTTATTGATGTTGGGTTAACTGTAATTAAAGAAAAGAAAAGCACTAATATTACTGATTTTTATTAAAGAAAAAGTTTATTTAAATTCTAATTTATGAAACATCTTGGAAATAAATGGGGTTAGTTATGGAAGTTAATCTAGAGTCATATTTTTCACAAATAACAATTGTTTATTTCTATGCATACGACTTATACTTTTATGCAACAACTTAAAAATTGTATATTCTTAATAAGAAATCATTTGATTGGAGAGGAATACCAAGTACCATGAATTTCCTACTCATCGAGAGAAAAAAGTGAATTATGAGCTGACTATATATAGAGAGAGAAACGGGGTAGATATTTCCAAATGAATTCCATATACATGTGCAGGTATGCATGGTAAATGAGAAATTAATGTTCGAGATATCGAAATCCAATTGTAATTGATGAAAAGTTAATTACATTTCATACAATGAGTTTCTTTTTCTTAATATGTTTCTTAGAAAGAGAATTTTTATTTCAATATGAAAAAAAATATCTTAAGAATTGTTTCATATACAATACTTCAATCTAGTTAAATAGGCTTTTTAGATCCACTTTATACAGTTAGCATTATCATTTTTGAGGGGGTCAAAAATTAATTATTTTTCATACATATTTTTCCTCTTTCTTGAAAATATTTATATCCAATTTGAAACGTTTACAAAAAAAGTTCTAAAATTGTCCAATCATAAAACTTTTTTTACCTTTTGAAAATATCGCACTTTGACCACCAAGCATAAAATCATACCCTCTTCAAAACTAAGACAATAAACAAATCACTGATATTCGATATTCTATTTGTGCTGTCAAACTGATTAGAAATATATAGTGTATGAAAATGTTGAATTACAGTGCTACACTGTCACCTGAACAGAAATCTACCTGCATCAAAATGCGAAAAGCATGAAATTTGTTTCTTTGGGAGACTGCACATTTTTACAATTTGGGATGTTAGTTGCTGAAAAAATGTATCATATTTTTCCTTGATTGCTTTAGGTTTGTTCCTATAAATTTCACAAAACGTTTCTCAGTAACAATTTTTTGGAACAATTTATTACTGAAATAGCTGTTGTGCAAAAATTGAATCATTTTTTATTACCACAGGTGAAGTATTTCAATAAAATAGACTCTAACGGTGTAGTGACACATTTAACTTAATATTTTAAATAAGTTTTCCACCTTCTGACGATAAGTAAATATACGTATAAGATGCGTTTTACTTTTGCGAAATACTAAACATATGTGTATGACATAATGTCGGACTTAACCTATTACATGTATTAACAATCTAGAAAACACTGAATAAAAAACTTAGAGGGAGAACTCGTGACATACTCTAGTATACGCATACATTTTGAACTATCCGGCATTATATATTTCAGATGTTAATAAAATAACGATTTTGCCATTTCGATTGTAATATGAATAAATAGTGGTGTTTTTATAATTAAATTTTCTGAGATATTTTACTCTATGTGCTTTATGGGTAATGCACAATCATTTGAATCTGCATGTCCTCCCTGGGTCCTACTAATTGAGTGCTGTATATAATTATGTTTCAAACGTTCTGAATCAGAAAATTTTAAAATACCCAATGCCTAAGAATTTGGAAGTGCTCAAATACATGTGCCCCATTATATTTAGTTCCACTGTTTAATTAATTTTATCTAAACGCATAAGGGAAGGAAATAGAAAAAATACATCCTTTCCATTAAATTTAAGTGTTTGATATCTACTCAAAGTATATTTTACCAAAAAAATAATAACACTTATTCTCCGACTTCCTTGTCGGTCAGTCACAATTTTTATTGGAAGATTCGCACTTGTAACTGTTATTCACAAAATCTACCAGTTCTACCCAATTACATGTACTTTTATTGCATCTTAAAAATGAAAACAAAACCAACATGTAGGAGAAAAACATTAAAATGAACATTATCCTTTTTTTCTTGGAAAGGGCAGTTATCAATTATTGACAAAAAACTCACAAACAAATCCGTACTTATAGTCGTGGTGAGTGTCATGGCAGTTAAAATTATCGGACGCCTTTAACCTAATACGGTTTTCTCTTGGGCCGTTCGTTATTATTGTAGGACAGAAGAAATTCTGGAACTGTGTACCATCATGAAACTTCCAAATTCCGTTTGACTTCTTCCCTTGAATCCAGGCCTCAGCTGTCGATATGTCAGCTGTCAGCTCTAAAACATAAATGTATCAAACTGACAAAATTTTATTTGAAAGTTAAAAACTGACCAATGTTAAAAAAAAAATGTTCAATTGAAAAATTTCTAATATAACTTGACTTCGTCATTTTCTCATTTATTGAAGACATGGCATTCGGATGTCTTGTATTAGGTTTTATGAGACATTCTCTGTAATGAATTGTACTTTTTATTGTCTCCCAAAATAGGTTTGAAAAAAGAGTATCATAAACTTTCAAATTACAAAGCTTACATATGTTGAAATAAAGCAATTTTCAAATAAGTTAAAAATGTCTTATCCGGGAAAAAATTTTGTCACCAAATCTTTTTAAATTTTTTTTCCATTTTGATTAAATATACGTTTAGAAAATGAAAGCAAATTATTAATAAGTTAAAAAGTAACCAAAGATTAAAAGAGTTCATTGTTGCATAAAGCAAAAAAGAAGTTTGATATAACTTCTTTATAGGCTTAATCTGATTTTATCTTTTTACCCAGCTTCTCCTTTAATCATATAACTTGAAGTGCTACTTTTCTAATTCAATATATGTTTTAGATAACGTAAATGTACTCGTTAAATAATTTCGATATTTTCATGACGCCATTTACAGCCATATTGCAATACTAGTAAAACTACTTTATGAAACAAATCCAAGTAGTCTTTATATCATGAGCCAGTAGGGGAAAATACAATCCCGAAATAATTAAAATCCTTTACTACTTTTATGGCACTGCCATTTTCAGTAAAAATATTCTTTGGCTGTCTACCCTTTGGGAAAAATAAGAATCTTTGTTTTCTTGATATCACGCACAATTTCCATTCATCACAATATTTGTAAAATTCATTTAATATTCTCTGAAGATCTTCAGCAGTTTCCACAAAAATTACAGTATCATTGGCCTAAACCTGGATAACAATTTCTTAAACAAAAATAACTTATCATCTATACCTTTGCAATGCCAGACAAACCGACAATATTCTTCTTTTTCACCTTGTCGTTCACCAACATTACAAATAAAATTAAAATGACAAACCATTCATCTGAATTTTAGATTTGATAACACTATACATATTTTTAATAAAAGTAAAACATTTCCCATTTACACCACTTTATAGTAGTGTAAATGTGTAAATGATATTGTACGAGGGCCGTTCAAAAATTACGCGGACTTGTTGCACAGAAATAATATTTTTTTTTTACCTTATATGGTCTTCATATCAAAATGCTGTAAACATAACAAATTAAAAAGCAGCAAAATCTTCGACGTCACAATTATAAAAAAATTTGAGATTGAGCTTTCATCTAACATTTTCCCAAAATACCTTTGATAAGTTATCTTTCTTACATCCAAAAACCATTTTTTTCTGGCTTAAAATTAATAAATTCCTTTTTGTTAAAAAACCAAAAACTGCAGGTATTTATGAGATATAGTGTGATATATATACGTTCTTTACAGTCCGGATAAAGTTTTCGTAAATCCCGTCCTCCACTTTATAGTAGTGTAAATAATTTGATATTTTCAGTGGTTACAGTGTATAGCATATTTTTAATTACTGCATATGATTTAACAAAAGTGGTATTTGGGACGGATTTTCAAATACTATATTAGTCTTTTTATAATATCACGTCAGAAATATAAATACATAAAATAGAACAATTTAAAATCCTTTTTTCTATGTCACTGTCATATGTTCAGTCACAGAAATTTTCCCCGAAATTTTTCATATTTCTGTGGTAACCTTTGGGAAAAAAAGAATGTTTTTTACATATCACACACAATTTTATTATTACAATATAATTGTAAAAGTCATTTAATATTTCTGTACCAGATCAACTTCAATGTGGATAGCAATTCCCACAAAAATTAGAAGTCATGTGTATATGACAATTTTTACAAAAATTTCCTGTTGTAATGCATAAAATGGATTAAAATCTTATCCGACAATAGAATTATTTGTATTGGTTTTTCTCTCTTGTCATTCACCAACATTACAAATAAAAATTAATTTGCTCATCAAAATCAAAATGACAAAAATTTATCAAATATAACTCCCTATTTATGTGTGAAATATGGAAATTCCATATATTTTACAACACTTCATAGTAGTGTAAATGGTATTGTAAGTGATTACAGTATATAGCTCTTAATTATGTAATTATTACTTATTTAATATTTAAAAACTATTTAGTCATTTTAATAATTAAAGTTTATCTGTTCTGTCCATTTTTCTTGTACTATTCAACTTCAACTTAAATGTGGATAATTGCGAAAATCCATAAGGACTATGTTCATGCATGTAGGGGAATGTCCAAATGTAAAAAAAAATAATGTAAATAATTAAATACATTAAAAGAAAAAACTCAATTAACTGACCTATCAACTTCTTCAAGACGTTGTATTTCTCCACAGAATCCATCCTTATTAATTCTGCACTTTCCAAAAGACAAGCGTTGTTTGCATCTGCGTAAATGACAGATGTCTCCTCAAACCTAAGACAGGATGTGACGTCAGTGCAAGTGTACAGCAAGTAGCCGCTAGGACAGGCTGTCAAATAAATTTTTTCCCCAATAATCAGCATAAAATAATTAAATATACATGTAATTAATATCTGTTTCAAATAAATTCGAAACAAATCTTATCATTTATTACAAATAAAATATTTTATTTATGTTGATTATGGAAGCATTTTTTTCTATTTATACAGTTACATTACTTCACAACTAATATATGTCGATATATGATATTGGCTCATCGATGTCTTGTTTGCTTTACTATCATTTTGTATGCTACGATAAGCATTTTGAGGAGGCAACGTATTTATGTGTGAAATGCAATGACTTTTGAGCTTGAATACTGTTTGTTATCTCCATATGATTCTAAGTGATACAGAAACAGGTGTGATTTTGATGTACTTCGATCATACCTCAAATTTCAATTAAGAATTTCCATCATGCAGTTTTCCTATTTTATTCTGTTTAGAATAGGGGTGCATGTAAAAAAATACAATGTATATGCATTTTTTTGTATTTATTTACCTTTTTTTTTTTACATGTAATTATGAAGCAACTCTAATTGAATTGAATATTAAGGTGGAGTATTAACAGGGCACACATTTTGATGATGCATATCTGGGTATTGCCTTTGTAAGTTAAATGTACTGGATTTAAATAGCATTGACTTGTTAAGTAATATTATTGTCTAAAATACCATATTTTAGATAGGTAAATAACGACTCAATTTAATGTTAACTTACTGTTTAATAAATAAGTCATCCACTGAGTTCCATTTAAGGTAAAAGTTCCTGTTTTATGCGGTGGACAACAATAACAGCTTCCCGAATCTCGATCCCGACTTATCATATAGAGAAACATACAGGATTGTAAACAGAGAGAAAAACACTGGAGGCTACTGACAGACACACCAACAGAAACACACCGAGATGTCGGCTGGTCATTGTTATTTACAGCCCTGTGATACGGTAGAAAACAGTCACAAAAAGATAACATTAGAATAAAGAGTATGTTTAAAAATATCACTATGCTTGATGAAGACCACATAATTCGATAATAGTAGTTATAACCTTCCACTGTAACCGATGCGTTGTACAGAACCTGAGTTGAATAGACCTTTTTTTCTATTGGAGGCGTGGAAGTTTTCAAAGTTCTGCTATATGCACATTTCAAATTGATTAATTACATTTTCCTGTGCAGTTTGTTCTATTTAAAAATACTTTATTGTATAGCTTTCTTAAATAATAAAGTACTGTACAAATGTTTTCCCAAAATCTTGTAGATAATCGTTAAGCAGTACTGATAAGGCTGCATAAAGGAAGCGGGGTCTGATTTATATTATAAATTACACACAAAAATATATTGTAATTCCTCACCAGATATTGAAATAATTTGCAAATTAAACTGTATTAGAGTAATGAAATAAAAAGTCGTATTCCTAAAAAAAAAGATTAATGAAATGAAATCTTCAGAAGAATTACATAACTTTTATGACTTTCAAGTCCTTGGTTTCTTTTTGGCTTGTTTTTGCGTATAGGTAGGTTTTTGAAAGATGGATGGTCTGTCACTCTACACAGAGAAAAATTTGAAATGGTCTTATTGAGAGAATATTATTATATAATACAATATATATCAATAATACATTAACGAAAATTTCAATCCAATGTTTTCTCAGCTGTCCGTGTCGAGTTGTACCCGCCCATTCCATTGTCTATCATTACCGGTAAATATTTTGATTGTAACAGATAGAAATGATGTCAGCTGCAAATTTCGAATCTTGCCAGTTAATGTTCCGCGTTCATATCCTTATATTATGACTTTCGGAGCATTTCATCAAAAATTAATTTCTAGGATGAACATTTAATATTTTTCTTATATCAATCATTTACTGTCCTTACTTTGACATTATACACTAAAGTATCAATGCATTTAAATGCTAAACGATTCTTGTTTCATCACCTTGTCCATCAACACCTTACTGTGTATTAAAAAAATCTTTTGTGGGGTATGCTCTTGCGTATAGAATCACGTGAAGAGATTTAAACCCAATATGGAAATGATAAATGTTTATTGTTACATACATGTTAGTAAGGATAATTGACGATTGAAAAATAAATGAGTTTATCATAAAACGTCTTATTGTTAGGCAACCATATACATGTGTATATGACACCATCTGGCAGGCAATGGAATAAAAAAGAAAGATAATTTAGTAATTCGTTTATTGTTGATTGAAGACTAATTAATTACATCTCATTTCTTAATTGATCACTGTTCACAAAAGAAATCTTTTTGATAAAAGCATTGGTAGTCGTGCCTTTTACCATTTCTATTTATCAATACTGCGCAGTGTTCAATGTTATCTTGTGGTTGATCGTGATCCCAATTTGTAAAACTCATCCTTGCTCCCGATGATATCCATCCCCATTCCTCCCTTTTGGCTTAATCAGTACCGGACAACCAGATGTGATCTTTTAGGAGACTCTGAATCCAAGTATTTTCCTTCATGTCATTTATTTTCAACAAAGACGATTTTTTACGTGCGACAGAAAATTTCTGCTTCGAAAAATTTTACTTTCTTTGATACATATTTATAAGAATGGTTGTTAAACTTTGTCCATCCCTATCTGCATTGTGTAGTCTTTGCAAGTAAAGAATAGGAAAATTGGTCAGGTTTTAGCTCCAGAGAGCGTTGCCCTCGGGGAATATGATTTTTCATGAGCGAAGAAATCTTCATGTCTCCCTCACTATCGTGCAATAATTGTATAATGATTTTTGCAAGTATAACACTTTGAAAGGTACATAATTTCCAAACCTTAACAATAAAATATATTTTGATGTCCAAAAATTTAATTTGTATCTTTATATATCGTACAATAATATACTTGAAATATATACACTATAGCATGTGAACATTTATCAAAATGGTTAAGGTCTAAGACGTTGTCGTTTTGCGGAATTTTTATAACTTTTTTTCAAATATTGTGGTTTCATCAATATTCGTTGAGCACCAATTTCGTGGATTTCGTTGTTGAGCAGATCCACGAATTCAAATGTTCAGTGAAATACGAAATATGACATTCATTTGTATTGGCAATGCTTTTGACCACGAAATTACGTATCCTCGAAAACGTCTGTTTTACAAAATTCACGAAAATTGATGCCAACGAAAATTGATGAAACCACAGTAAAGTTTTATATGTTTGCCCCCTTGGCCTCCTCTCTCTTCCACGTCACCTGTTTTTAATTTTGATGTTTAGGGATGTCCGTGATTGCCATGCTCCAAATTTGTACTGTTCAGTGAATTTTGAGCTTGTGTACGGTTCGTTTTCACCATATATAGCTGGCGCAGTTCCAAAAAAACCACGTGCAGGGCGGGACAACACCTATAGAGAAGCATGCTTGGAGCCCCAGGATTGGAGGAATCAAAGCATGTAAATATAAGGAATAACTGTCAGATTTTTCAAATTCATGAAGATGATCAATGGATTGGCTCGTGTGATAATTATATGCATAAACGCTTTCGGCGTTTATGCAAATAATCACACAAGCCAATCCATTGATCACTTCATGAATTCGAAAAATAAGACAGTTATTCCTTAATTATTGACATTTAAGGTACCTTGAAGACGAGAAGTTGTCTTTCTTTTCCTATTTGCAATGATAGTTCCGCTGTGTCTAATAAATTATGAAGAAAACAGCCAGCTCAGATGAAGCCAAGTTGAGGTGAGATCAGGTTCTGGTGCCATGAAGGAAAAAACATCCTTTGTAGACACATTAACAAAAATACTAATTTTTTTAACATACCACCTTCTGCAGTACGGGACAAAATTCTACCGTCTTGTTAACAGAGGGGCCATCTCAAAATGCCAAAAATTAACGAATTTTCCTGTTTCTATAACGTACTACACAATATGACGGGCATACATGTGTAAATAATTCATATGAAAACATAGCAAAAATAATGGAGATATTCTCAAATTTCTACGTTTTAAATTTCAAGAGCGTCTGTTTATTACTTTTTCTTAAAAACATTTTTATTACCCCTTTCTTTAAGACCTTCATTTTATCATAACGTCAAATACACCTCGTAACGACGTCAACCTACCTATCAATTGCAAAATTGGTTTTAAAATGAGTAAAATAAAATTGTCATAACATTTTCATACCTATAATATCTAAATTTTGTTTAATTTATATAATTAAATAAAAAATGTCGCGAAATATTGCACAATGGAAACCAAAGTCGTCACCCTTAATTCAACAAAGCTTTCCAGGTGTGTTCATCTGGATTATCGGAAAATCAATTCTATATGATGGTCACCATGCTCATTTACGAAAATGTTGTTCTTATCCACCCATACTATTGCCGAGTTTGGGTCATTTCCGATAAATGGACTGTGCTTGTTATTAAAAAAAAATAACTTGCACAGTAAGAAAAAGAAGAGTCCGAAAAATCTTAGCTTCTGTGACAGAACACTATGGAGCATGTCACGTGACTGTATAGATCACGTGATACGTGCATAGGCAGAACGGTTGCAGATGTGCATTAAAATCGGAAAGGACTAGTTTTTTTTTAAATCAACACTAAAGCCCTATATCATTGCTATTTAATTTTATCACCCATCGTAAATATTGATTTTAGCAACATTCCTAGGGAAGCTTTGACAGTTTTATCTCTGTCAAATGGTTTATTGACTTCTTTCTATCTTATATAAAGTCAAGGAAGATTTTCACAACACTCTCCGTTATTGGAAGGACAGTCTCAAGAGTTTTACAGCTTTTCTAATATTGGTCACACTGTGAAAGGATATCATTTGGTTTCATTTGGATTCTCGGTTATCTGAACTTATCAAAAATATGTCATAAATGTTATACACCCAAGAAAGTGCTGTAAATTATGTAACTAGCACATTGTACTAATTCTTGTACTGCTAGGTGTTCATATCTATAAGAAGGGCACAGGTAGTTTATTGATAATACAAACTGAAAGTGCTGCAAGGGAAAACTCGCATTGATACACGGATTTTATTTTACAGGTGTGTATATTCATTTACAATTTAATTGTTCATTTTGAATTTGTAGTCCTAATATTTTAAGAATTATACAATGTAGTTCCCATTGATAAGGTAGATGTGTGAAAAAAGCATGCCTCTTTCACTTAAAAATCTGTATTTAAAAATTATACGTTTATTTTATACTTCCCAGGGCGTTGCCCTCGAGTAATATGTGTTTCTATGGACGAAAAAATCTTTGTCTCCCAAACAATCATGCAATAAATGTAGGGTTAGTTTACGATTGAAATCTGAAGTCATATGGCGATCGACATATCTTAGTGTTAATGGACATCTGTGGAATAGCATACAGTGGACAACAGACTTCAGACTTCGGACTTTAAATGACGGGAAGCATCTCAAAGTGTAGAAATTATAAATCACATTTGAGTTTGATTTGATAATGCAATGGCATTTAATATCATGATTATTAATAAACGACATACTTCTGCGACATTCATAAATATGAAACGAGGAACACTTTGATAAGTTTAATGTTTCAGTCAGTCTCTTTGGAATCGGAACTCGCATCGAAAATGTATTTTTCTTTTCTCTTCTATCTACTTCTTTAATTATTCTTGACTTGTTAAATTTTATTATCAATACTTGACTTTCAAGATTTTTCCGTCGTAAAACTGTTTTTCTCTATGCCTGTTTTAGCACCCACTTATGAAAAAAGAGAAAGGATGTACCCTTATGTATATAAAATTTGAAATAAATAGTGATGTCCATTTGATGGAAACATGCTGGAAACATGATGCAGATTTCTAATCTACTCAGCTTTTTCATAATTATAATGATTTCAATAAACCTGATTCAATTCCAATTTGGCTTAATAATATTAGGCTATAAATCGTTATTTGAAAAGCCAGTTAATCACACACTCGCACAAAAACACATGTTTTGGAACAGAATTGTATAGGCAGTGAAATTATCTTATTCAAATGTATTTTAAAGATGGTACCCCCCCCCCCCACCTTCCGCATATACACTCCCCTCCCTGAAGATAGAATTTTCAAGTTTAGAATATTCTCCTTTTTATCTTTGTCAAATTTTTTTTCGGGTAAGTTGCAATCCCCCCCCCCCAAAAAAAATCAAGCATTTTCAAAATCGACATGCCTATTCATGACATATTTACATATTTTATAATATTAAATAGCTGGAGATATTAAGCTTTTAGTATCTTAAACATTTCTTTTATTCAAAATTGAACAAAATGTATTTTCAACTTCACATTCAAATTGTTTTTAATATGCAAACTGAAGGTACATGTACAACTTCCGATCAATGTGATTTACATGTTCAAACCTTATTAATTTTTTTTAGATTTTGATTAGTTAATAGTGAGAAAAACGGCGTAATACGTCAATATTGTCTAAAAACTGGATATATTTTGTCCAAATACGAAAAGTGTGAAGTCACAGGAGGTCTTTTTCTTTGCCTTTTTACCGTTCAAGGTAGTTTAGTCGGTCGAGCACTTGCTCCGTGATCGGGAGGTCGTGAGTTCGTATCTCGGCCGCGATTGACCTAGTCGTTAAAATGGGTAGCAACTGTTCCTTCGCCATATGCATGCGCTCGGCACTTTGAAGTGAAAGTTGCGGGTCCTTCGGTTGAGACCTTAAAAACTGAGGCCCCGTGTCAGCGGCAGGCGTTGGCACGATAAAGATCCCCCGCTGCTCAATGGCCCTGAGTGCCGAGTAAAGGTCAAAATTGAAAGCTCTTCATCGGCATACGGTGACGTCTCCAAATGAGTGAAAAATTCTCGAGAGGGACATTAAACAATACATAATCAATCAATCAATATTTACCTTTTATGTGGCATGGTGGTTTCTATACCTTATGTACATTTCATTTTCTGAGATTGTAGTTGTTTGTAGTTCACATTTGACACTTTTTAATTTAATAATGCATGCTAAAATATAAGAAATCTCGAGAAATGTTCACAAATAAATTCTTTGCAAATTTCTCATCAAAATACAAATTTCAAAATTCTTCAAATTAATTTTTTCATAGTTATCGAAAGCTTGAACATTTTCAGATGATTTGTTATGAAATATAGATTATATAGATTTTTTATTTTTTAAACTGCTCCCTTAGAAAAGTCCGCCTTTAAATGTCTGAAGTCCGAAGTCCGCTTTTCGCTGTACGCTATTCCGCAAATGTCCATTTGGTCCTTGTCGTCAATAGCCAGTTAAGCATCCTTATATGTGGAAGACTCTGGTGTTTTTATCCAACATTCACTAGTATATTAAGTCGACATTGGAATGAAAATAACTATTGTTAAATAATGCATCGATGAGGGTCCAAGCAATAATAAGAGTGTATTCTTTCATTTATCATCAATTTCGAACTTTAACATAAAAAAATGTCATTCTCACGATAGAAAAAGATTGACGGTTCAACTGTAACAGTTTTATTGTAGGTCCATCTCACAAAGAGCATGTCATTACCTATTTAAATCAACCTGCTAATATCTGTTTGAATAGTATGTTTCTGTTTCAGATTTCTTCTAAACAATATATTTGTTTAACAATAAAATGGATCGCATACCTCGACTATCAGATGCGGTGTATGTAGGACTGTGTCATAAAATTGGATCTTCTACAGAAATAAGGTTCAGAAGAGAGATAATGGTCCGGCGGGAATTTTAGGATTAACGGGAATGAATAGTGGTAGTAGGCGTGAGGGATTCCGACTACCTACCTCAGATGTAGATTTGATGGTTTGGCCTACAGATTTTAAAGTTATCTGTGATATCTCTCAGAAAGGTATTTACCATATCCCAAGGCATATTGTTTTTCTTATGGAATGTGATGATTTACCATCGGGATTTGTCAGACTTAAAGTGTTGAGTCCAATAAAGGATGCTGACCTTAGACGCGGCTGTTTAGTTATAAATAATACAATTTATATGTCTAGTGCCCTTTTGCGTAATATTTGTGTGCGATGTCTCCAGAATGCACATATACCTCCTATTTCTAATTGTATGTCTCATGGACCCTCTTGCACAGTTTTCACTGCCAATGATGAGGTTATCAATAAAGAAACAGACATTGTGTTTTGTTTGCAGTCACATCACTGGCCACCTATAGCACTTCAATGGGTCCAGAGAAGTCGCGAAAAAGGATGGCCATCCGAGAGTCTTGTATCAGAAATATTAAACGGAGGCTTTCATGTTGTTCCTATCGGAAGCACACCTGCAGATGAACTCGAATGGAGAATTTCGTTCTCTCGAGCTGAACAAAAAATTGTTTATTCAATGAATCACTGTCAGTTTTTGTGTTATGGTCTCTTCAAAATATTTCTGAAAGAAGTAATTAACTTTCAAAATAATACGCATGTCCTTTGTTCATACTTCATAAAAACGAGTGTATTTTGGATAATTCAGTCCAAAATGTCGTTAGCTTGGATACCTGAAAATTTGCTGTCTTGTTTCTGGGAATGCTTCAAACTTTTAATATTTTTTGTACATACTGGAGAATGTCCCAACTTTTTCATTCCAGATAATAACATGTTTAGATTGAAAGTCACTGGTTCTGTGCAAACTTCATTGTTCAGTCACTTGTATAATTTGTATTGTGAGGGAATTTCATGTCTTCTTTTAAGTCCAACATTCAGCAATTATTTATGTAAAGTCATTCTAAACAGAACATTGAGAGTCTGTATAGATGAGAGCAGTATTATTTCTACCATTCAATTAGATATAAGCTTATTGAACGAATTATATTCGTTCACACTTCGGCAAATATATATTACGGATTTTGCACTTAATATGAAGCGAATAGAAGAAATGCTTCGAGGAAGGTTAACATTGTATCAGACAGTTTCCTTACAATGTATAACATCACGATTATTACGGTGCGCTGCTTTGTTGGTACAGGGTAATTGTAATTCAAATAATTTTCGAAATAAGGTTTATTACAAATATAAGAACGCATCATTCTTGCTAAAATTATCAGCAAAATTTGGTTTCATGTCAGACATTCTGTATCTAGCTATGTATTTTTACAGAACATTTAGATATGAACAATCTCTAAGGTGTTTACAAAAGGCTCAGGAGAGGATATCGGTGTCATTTATTTTAAGTGAATGTCACGTTAATCCAGACATGTATAGACACTGCGTAATGGGGATGTCTCTATTTCATAAAGTCAGGAAAACTGTGGTAAAAAATATTACCTTGGAGAATTTCTTTACTTACATTAATGAGCTAGTATTAGAACAGAATATCAGTGGGAAGAAAGGCCACCTGGCATTACAAATCCCTCCCCTAGTGATGATACACATGTTGTTTATACTGAATCATCACAGACTTGGTGACACAGTCAGGTCACAACAATCTCTACAGGATCTACAGACTCTGCTTCTCTATGATGACGGGATTTATGTGCATCCTTACCTCAGAGATATTTCGTGGCAAATACTGGGAATCTGTCAACAAATCTGTGGGGACTGCTTTAGAGCATTAGAGTCTTATCAATATTCATTAAAACAAAGACCATATCACAAAATACATCAAGCTACAAGGCTTAGAATTAACACCTTGGTTAATGAAGAAATATAGTTTTAGCTATTCTGTTTCGTTATGACAGCCAAAATACGCGTGTACGTTGTTGTTTTTTTGAAAGACAATGTTTTTACTTTTAGTTTATTTATTTATATTTTTCCATTTTCTTTACTTTAAATTTCCTTCCACATTTTCGTGTTACAATATTTTTTGTTTTTATAGCCCTTAAAGAAAATTGTTTTTGTCAAGCAGAACATGTTTTGATGGCTGAAAAAAAGACTTTATTTTTAAAATGCAACAATGATATTTTCCAATGATAGGAATAGAATTGATGCTAGTGGCACTAGTCCATATAGCAATTCTCGTCACTTCAATTGTATCTTAAATAGATGTCTCTTGAACATGTTGATATAAGAAATTGATTCTTGAGATATAAAAACTATGTTTACCTATCACGTATCACATTTAATTCAGATTCTGCACTCCATAGTCAAACGCACTGCGAAAACATAGGCTGAGTAGAATAAATAAATCAGCCAAATTCGAAGGATATGGCGATAACGAACAGTCTTCAATATAATGTCCATAAAACAATACAGAGTAGGAGCAGAGCAAACACGGACCTTCGACACATCAGAGGTGAGATCAGGTGCCATGGATGAGGACTAAATAATATTTTTTTTTCTGAAGAGGATCATTCGACTAATAGTAGATTTTTTTAACAATGTAATTAGGATCATAATCTAACGATTATGGAATTAAAATATGTTTACTTTATGTGATGTTGCTGACGATTGGTTGTATTAACTGAAAATAAATCTTAGTTAAAAATTATTTTATTTGTTGAGCCGTAATTGAACGATCTATAAATTGTTTACTAGTATTTAATTATTTTTTTTTATCAATGTCAGCAACTAAGCATGTCCTTTTTTGGCTTTTTTCTGAATACATTTCACTTTTACATTATCTTGTACATTTGAATTGTAATTAATTATTTAATAAATAAGAAAAATAATTAATTGTTATTTTTGGAATATAAGAGGTTGAATTCTGACCTTTTGAGTAGATTATTTGGTCTTTATTCCTAGTCTAGCTAGTATAGATAGTTTTTCAATGCCCTGAAGTTAACAGAAGGTAATTCCTGTTGGGTGTCATATATACATATTGGAGGTCCTGCTAGCTAATTCTATTTTTCCTTTTTGATACTTTTATACTTGTTTACAAGCAATATATAATAGCAAAAGATTTTTTAATACTAAAATTACGAATTCAAGGAATCTAGAGTATATATGAAAAAATTGTGTTACCTTCACCCAATTGCCTAGTACATGTACAAGCTGTATGACAAGTTTAAATCAGTTGGTTGAAAAATGAAGGAATTCGGTCTTGTATACCACTAATATGACCACAAATGGAAAATGTTACAATTATACATCGACCATTGCTTCCAAACTTTTCAATTACAAAAACACTTTACATGGCCTGGATATCGACTATCTGAAAAATAATCCCCTTTCGTGTTCATGTTCTTCTTCGCCCTATAACTATAGTCCTGCTGGACACGTTATTACAGGTGACGTAAAAATAGTTCGTAATGAGGACCTTTGATCACTTATTTTAAAAGGTCCTAAATATAGGGAACCCCGATCCTTCAACTGGCGTCGGAATTTCATAAATATTATGGATTCTGTTGAAATTACGCCAGACGATGGGTTATATATGAAAAAGAAGACATTGACACCTTGTCAGAATGGATTAAATGTATCAGATCCATGTTAAAGTCCCGTATTAAAAGATTGAGGGGCAAAATGAAAACCATCTATCCTTCTGTGTTCAATAAACCAGAAGTGAAAAAAGAATTAGATAGATTACACGATCAGTACGTACTGGTTCCTGCCGACAAAGCAGGTAACAACATTGTCTTCGTTTGTAAGGTTCATTATACATGTTATATAAATTGCATTCTAGAAGAACTTGGATTTAATTCTACAAGTGGTAATCCTACATATACATATACTTCTCTTTCTAAGGAAGAAATTCTTCAAAATCACCTGTCAGTTTTGAATACTTTTAATATTCCACACAACCAAAATGAATTTGAACTACCTTATATATATTGGATTCCGAAACTTCATAAGAATCCTTACAAACAAAGATATATGGCAGGTTCCAGTAAATGTTCAACCAAGCCTCTTTCGTTACTTCTCACTAAAATATTGACAGTAGTGAAGGAAAAACTTCAAGAGTACTGTACAACTATATATTCAAGAAGTGGTGTAAATCAGATGTGGATGCTTAAAAATTCTAAAGAACTTTTGGACAATTTGAAATCACAAGACTTTACAAAAATCAACAGCATAAAAACTTACGACTTTTCAACTTTATACACAACAATTCCCCACGACAAATTAAAATCCAGGCTTTTTGATATCATTGACAGCTGCTTCTTCAACAAAAATGGAACTCATAAGTTTACTTACCTCGTCATTGGTCATTTGGAAAATTATTTCGTTAAAACAGATTCTGATTGCACACATAAGTACTCTGAAGTTGACATCAAGAAGATGCTTGAGTTTCTGATTGACAATATATATGTGGTTTTTGGAGACCAGGTATTCCAACAATCTATTGGAATTCCCATGGGTACAAATTGCTCTCCGTTATTAGCAGACTTATTTTTATATTCATATGAAGCAGAATTTATGCAAAATCTTTTGCGTGAAAAGAAGAAAACACTTGCTGTGGCCTTCAACTCGACATTTAGATATATCGACGACGTATTGTCAATTAATAATGACAATTTCCATTCTTACGTCGACACTATATATCCTGGTGAGCTTGAGATACCACAGAGTCTGACACTTCTGCTTCATACTTGGATATTTTACTTGAAAAAGACACTAATAGTAATCTAACAACCAAGCTATATGATAAACGTGATGACTTTAACTTTTCTATCGTCAACTTCCCTTACTTATGCAGCAATATACCTTCATCACCTGCATACGGAGTATTTATATCTCAGTTGATTCGATACGCAAGAGCATGCTCTACGTATGAATAATTTCTTAAACGAGGTAAATTATTGACAAGCAAGTTGATGAAACAAAAATATCAACAGTCTCGTTTAAAGTCATCTTTTCGTAAATTCTATGGTCGATACAATGACCTTGTCAGCAAATACAATTTATCATTGAATGAAATGCTGACAGACGTTTTTCATATCAATTGTTAGTCCATTATTTATACACTGAATTGACCACGGATTTTTTCCGTTATTTCCTGATTATGACAACGAGCACACGGCGGGTGTGACCGGTCAGTAGGGGATGCTCACTCCTCCATGGCACCTGATCCCACCTCTGATGTTTCGGAGGTCCGTGTTTGCTCTGCTCTTATTTTGTATATTTGTTTAATGGACGTTGAGATTGAATACTGTTCGTTATTTCCATATCCTTCCTTACTCTTGCGTAATTAAGGCGAGCCAAAAATAATTGAATGGGAAGAGTACCAGTTGCATGGTGTGAGTGGTACAAACGTTTACATTTGGTATATTGAAAAAATAGCCCATCATCGACTTAATGTGATTGCTGAAAGACGTTTGTGAAAGACGGTAGCTATTTTTTGCGTTTTTGCAACACTTTTATAGAAATTAAAAGATGGATAGCTTTAACACGAATCAAAAACCTTCATCTTTTATGTGCAAACTTCAATAGCAACATTTAACACACTGGATTAAATATTAAACACAAAAATTGATGACAAACGACATTTTGTGGCGGAGGTTTTTTTATAAAGGAAGAAGTGATCCAGAGTACTAGATTCACTGGTTAATTAATAAATAGAGTGCTTAAATAAATATGATATCATTTTACTAAAAAAAAATCATTAAAACTAAAACAAAATAATTTTTTAAATACAATTTGTATAGAATATGAATTTTTCTAGTAGCATTGAAACTGCACAGGGACAAGGAATATACATCAAAAGTGTGCAAGGGCATAGATTATTTTTTTAGCTGAAGTATGGAATTGTTATTGCTTAAATAGTGTATATTTTGAAATGTGCTGGGAGCTTATCCTGGTCTGCATAACATTATTTTTATTCATAACAGAATTTAAGCGAAGTGTGAGCTTTTAGCTACATGTATTATACACATTTTCGGCAAAGTTTTCAGTACTTCTCAAACACCACAGACTAGCTTCCAGCACTTTTGTGGTAGATGAAATTAACATCTTTAAAGATGTATCAATTTTTTTCTTGAAAAACAAGCGTATGCCCTTGTACTATCCACATTTTCTTCATTCACCTTAACAATTCTATTTTTTATACAAGTCACGTGACAAACAGTTGATACATGCGATATAACTGGTACTGTGTACGGTCTAGTCCTGTCCATTATGGATAACTCTATTACATTTTTTTACGGGTATTCAGTAGCTTTGTTACAAATTTTTAAAAGAAGTAATATATATTAAAACGGTGCTTTGGTCACATTTTCCATATCGGTCCTTAACATAGCCGAGAGGCAAGTCTCTGTGCTACAAATTCAGGAGAGCTTCAATAAAAATATAGACTTCTTAAATGAGTACTAGTACACTTACATTGATGAAGTAGTATAATATCAGAAAATCATTGAAAAGAACGGAATATTTACTTTACTTATCCAACCTCTAGTGATCTTACACATGTTGTTTATACTGAATCATCACAGACTGGGTGACCGAGTGACGTCACAACAATCTTTACTTGATCTGTGTCATAACGAAAACGGGATTTATGTTTCTCCATGATGACGGTGTTTACATGGTGACAATACTCCGAAAACTGGGTATCTGTCAACAAAACTGTGGGAACTTCGTAGAAGCTCTAGAGTCTTTTCTAAATTCGTGAAGAGAAATGCCATTGCACCAAATCCAGGAGGCGACAAAATTGAGATTGTGCGCACTTAGTTATGACGAAAATTTTGTATAACTTTCGTAATAACATTGTAATAACATTGTAATTGTTTAAACAGTTAAAGATCTTCAACACCTTTCTTGATAGAGACTTTATGTTTTCCAATTGTATCATTTGTTTTCATTTTTTTGTATTTCCATGCTTCCATATACCGGTATTTACATGTAATTTTTTTATAAGCTCTATTGTACCAATTGTTTTACTCAAGCAGATAATGCTTTTGATTTAAATTTTTGGGGTTTGAAAATGAAGTTGATTTTAATTTGCAATAATGATGATCTAGTTTATAGAAAGAGAATGACACTTACAATAAGTGGTTCAAAGTATAGGATAAATGAACATATATAATCCAATAAAAAGTCTCAGTGGTCGGAATTAAATAATTATAAATGAACTATACAGCACCGTTAATGTGACACACCAGTAGAAGAGTCATGGTGGACAAGAGACTGAGTATATTTGTTTTATGTTCTATCAAAATGAACGAAGAATTAAAGAAAGTCGGAGTGATTTATTGTGGATAGTGACAACTTTGGCAACTGGCAAATAGCCACATTGTTTATCCTAGTATGTGTGTACTGAACTGTAGCACTAGGCAGGTGACAAGGCATATTTGTATATATTGAATACCTTACAAAATAGGCAAGTAACCATTGTATTTGTATACTTTGCATTCATTATAATCCCTGTAAGACTATGAACGCAAGGAGATCACTTGAATGTAGCACATTACAATAAGCAGGGGTATTTTACCAAGTTTTTAAAATTCATTTGCAACATGGCTTCGTCTATCAGTTTATTTTGTTTTATGCTTCATTGAATCCTTATAGTATTGTATAATACTCAGGTGACCATTAAGGCCCTTGGGCCTCTTGTCTACTTCAGCATGGTTATGTATTTTATGTCAAAAACATAGTTTCTCGAAGATAATTTTTTGTGTAGATAAAGTGCTCGGCAAGTATTGGTCGGACATCTTTAAGCACAGAGTATTCCCGAATGTGTGTTACGTCTCTGACGCTGACGGCAATGTTCAGAAAATCAGGAATAATGATGGCCCCTTCTAAAGAGGTAGCATTCTGGCAATGGTAAATCCCCGTAGATTTTAAATTTGACGCCTTCTGAATACACTTGTTGAACTCGGTGGGGTGGGGTTATTTTAAAGAAGAATGTTTGGGAAAGATCAATCTACCGATCGAGCCTAGTCTGAAGGCTGAGGTATTTGTGTATTTTGAGTACATAATTGATGTTGTCCTACCTAATTCTCAATCACACAATCATTTTAAAAATATAAAGAGACTGGTATCGAAGAAAATCCAAATTTCAAAACAATTCTTGCCTGATTGGATTTGCGTTTTTCCAATTGTTACGTTTTATTCCCCTGGTTGATATGATACGTAATAAAATTAACCGTTTCATTTGAAGTTTTGCACATTTCATTTCTACAAAATGTTTCTTTTGATAATAAAACTAATAATCTGTTACATAATACATGTGATAAGTCTCAATATACAAGATTAACCATTAAAAACAGATTATATGTATACAGATGCGTACATGTTTCTCTGATTTCTAGAAAACTATTATTCAAATCCAAATGTCCCTAATCATTTCTATAAAAAGTTTTGTTTAACAATAAATCAATCATCTGATGCATCGTGGGTCTCAAATTATCTTTAACACACAATTATTCACAGACGTATCTTTCTTTGAGGTTTAGAAAGTGTAAATTGAAATTCCAATTTACTCAATGCACTTCTACTTATAATTTCGTTTGAGAATAAAGAAATTAACTGTTATGTCATGTGTCTCAATCTTGTAAATCCATTACAAACACATTTTACTCAGAAGCTCATAAGTGTCAGTTTTGATGTTTACAAAACTTAAGCTTTAGTCTAATGTGCTTATTTCAATTCTATGTGATGCTGTGTTTAACAATTAACCAATTACATATTATATTATGTGCCTCATAATTAATTTAGTAGAAACATAACCTATGCATAAATAATTTGTTGATGTTGGGTTAACTGTAATTAAAGAAAAGAAAAGCATTATTATTATTGATTTTTATTAAAGAAAAACTTTATTTTAGATTCTAATTTATGAAACATCAAAGAAAAGAAATGGGTTAGTTATGGAAATTAATTTAGAGTCATATTTTTCACAAATAACAATTGTTTATTTCTATGCATACGACTTATACTTTTATGCAACAACTTAAATTGTATATTCTTAATAAAAAATCATTTGATTAAAGAGGAATACCAACTACCATAAATTTCCTACTCATCGAAAGAAAAAAGTGAATTATGAGCTGACTATATATATAGAGAAAAATGGGGTAAATATTTCCAAATGAATTCCATATACATGTACAGGTATGCATGGTAAATGAGAAATCATTGTTCGGGATATCGAAATCCAATTGTAATTAATAAAAAGTTAATTACATTTCATACACTAGTATTATTTTTCTTAATATGTTTCTTAGAAAGAGAATTTGTATTTCAATGTGAAAAAATATCTTAAAAATGGTTTCTTATAAAATACTTCAATCTAGTTAAATAGGCTTTTTAGATCCACTTTATAAGCATTATCATTTTCTTGAGGGGGTCAAAAATTAAATTATTTTTCATACATATTTTTCCTCTTTCTCGAAAATATTTATATCCAATTTGAAACGTTTACAAAACAAAAGTTCTAAAATTGTCCAATCATAAAACTTTTTTTATCTTTTGAAAATATCGCACTTTGATCACCAAGCATAAAATCATACCCTCTTCAAAACTAGAGCAATAAACAAATCACTTATATTCGATATTCTTTTTGTGCTGTCAAACTGATTAGAAATATATAGTGTATGAAAATGTTGCATTACAGTGCTACATTGTCACCTGAACAGAAATCTACCTGCATCAAAATGCGAAAAGCATGAACTTAGTTTCTTTGGGTGATTGCACATTTTTACAATTTGGGATGTTAGTTGCTGAAAAAAGGGTATCATATTTTTCCTTGATTGCTTTAGGTTTGTTCCTATAAATTTCACAAAAAAACAGTTCTTAGTAAAAAGATTTTGGAACAATTTATTACTGAAACAGCTGTTGTGCAAAAATTGAATAACTTTTTACTACCACGGGTGAAGTATTTCAATAAAACAGACTCTAACGGTGTAGTGACAGATTTAACTTAATATTTTAAATAAGTTTTCCACCTTCTGACGATAAGTAAATATACGTATAAGTATAAGATGCGTTTTACTTTTGCGAAATACTAAACATATGTGTATGACATAATGTCGGACTTAAACTATTACATGTATTTAAAATCTAGAAAACACTGAATAAAAGACTAAGAGGAAGAACTCGTGTCCTTACTCTAGTATACACATACATTTTGAACTATCCTTCATTATCTATTTCAGATGTTAATGAAACAACGATTTTGCCATTTTGATTGAAATATTAATAAGTAGTGGTGTCTTTATAGTTAAATTTTCTGAGATATTTTACCCTGTGTGCCTTATTGGTAATGCACAATCATTTTAATCTGCATGTCCTCCCTGATTCCTACTAATTGAGTGCTGTATATAATTATGTTTCAAACGTTCTGAATAAGAAAATTTTAAAATACCCAATGCCTAAGAATTGGGAAGTGCTCAAATACATGTACCCCATTATATTTAGTTCCATTGTTTAATTAATTTTATCTAAACGCATAAGGGAAGGAAATAGAAAAGAATACATCCTTTCCATTTAATTTAAATGTTTGAAATCTACTTAAAATATATTTTACCAAAAAAATAATAACACCTATTCTCCGACTTCCTTGTCTTTCAGTCACAATTTTTATTGGAAGATACTCACTTGTAAATGTTATTCACAAATTCTACCAGTTCTACCCAATTACATGTACTTTTATTGCATCTTCAAAATGAAAACAAAACCAACATGTAGGAGAAAAATATTAAAATGAACATTATCCTTTTTTTTCTTGGAAAGGGCAGTTATCAATTATTGACAAAGAACTCACAAACAAATCCGTACTTATAGTCGTGGTGAGTGTCATGGCAGTTAAAATTATCAGACGCCTTTAACCTAATACGGTTTTCTCTTGGGCCGTTCGTTAGTATTGTAGGACAGAAGAAATCCGGGAACTGTGTACCATCATGAAACTCCCAAATTCCGTTTGACTTCTTTCCTTGAATCCAGGCCTCAGCTGTCGATATGTCAGCTGTCAGCTCTAAAACATAAATGTATCAAACTGACAAAATTTTATTTGAAAATGTTAAAATGAATGTTCAATTGAAAAATTTCTAATATAACTTGACTCCGTCATTTTCTCATTTATTGAAGACATGGCATTCTGATGTCTTGTGATAGGTTTTATGAGACATTCTCTGTAATGAATTGTACTTTTTATTGGAGTCGGGACACATAGTCCCAAAATTTCTCCATACTCCAGGTATGAAAAAAGCCTTTGGTATCATAAACTTATATGAGGTAAATGTTGCTTTGTCTTACGATTACAAAGCTTACATATGTTGAAATAAAGCAATTTTCAACATGTTTAGAGTCCTTTTTCTGAAGATTGCAACAAAGAAAATTGACAACGACTGTTTTCGAAAGTCAAAGATGTCTTATCCGGGAAAATAATTATTACCTTTGTCAACAAATCTTTTTAATTTTTTTTTTTCATTTTGATTAAATAAATTATGCGTTCAGAAAATGAAAGCAAATTATTAATAAGTTAAAAAGTAACCAAAAATAAAAAGAATTCATTGTTGCGGAAAGCAAAAAAGTTTGATATAACTTCTTTATAGGTTTAATCTGATTTTATCTTTTTACCCAGCTTCTCCATAAATCATATAACTTAGTGCTACTTTTCTAATTCAATATATGTTTAGATAACGTAAATGTACTCGTTAAATAATATCGATATTTTCATGACGCCATTTACAGCCATATTGCAATACTGGTAAAACTACTCTATGAAACAAATCCAATTAGTCTTTATATAATGAGCCAGTAGGGTAAAATACAATCCCGAAATAATTAAAATCCTTTACTTCTTCTATGGCACTGCCATTTTCAGTAAAATTATTCTTTGGCTGTCTACCCTTTGGGAAAAATAAGAATCTTTGTTTTCTTGATATCACAGACAATTTCCATTATTCACAATATTTGTAAAATTCATTTAATATTCTCTGAAGATCTTCAGCCGTTTCCACAAGAATTACAGTATCATTGGCATAAAATTGGATAAACAATTTCTTAAACAAAAATAGCTTATCCTCTATACCTTTGCAATGCTGGACAAACCTACAATATTCTTTTTTTTCACCTTGTCGTTCACCAACATAACAAATAAAAATTAAAATTAAAATGACAAACCATTAATCTAAATTTTAGATTTGATAACATTATACATATTTTTAATAAATGTAAAACATTTCCCATTTTCACCACTTTATAGTAGTGTAAATGATATTGTAAGTGGTTACAGTGTATAGCTCTTAATTACTGTAAAATCACATATTTTCGTGGGGTCAAAATTTTTTCGTGGTTTAAGGAAAAAAATGTTGTTCGTAGGGATTTGGTTTCGTAGATAGAGAACTTCTTAGAAGTTGTGTATATGAAATTTTACATTTCGTGGTGGTCATGAATTCTTTGGTCTCCTCATACCTCAAAAACAACGAAAATTAAACCCCCACGAAAATTAGTGATTTCACAGTATGTAATTATTACTTATTGAATTAATTAATAATAATTTAATCATTTTAATAATTAAAGTTTATCTCTTCTGTCCATTTTTCATGTACTATTCAACTTCAACTTCAATGTTGATACTCGCGAAAATCCATTAGGACATTTATCAGGGAGGACTATGTACATGCGTGTAGTGGAATGTCCAAATGTAAAAAAAAAAGCAATAGCTTGTAAATAATTAAATACATTAAAAGAAAAAACTCAATTAACTGACCTATCAACTTCTTCAAGACGTTGTATTTCTCCACAGAATCCATCCTTATTAATTCTGCACTTTCCAACAGACAAGCGTTGTTTGCATCTGCATACATAACAGATGTCTCCTCAAAACAAAGACAGGATGTGACGTCAGTGCAAGTGTACAGCAAGTAACCACTCGGACAGGCTGTCAAATAAGTTTTTTTTTCCAATAATCAGCATAAAATAATTAAATATACATGTATTTACATGTAATATCTGTTTCAAATAAACTTCGTAACAAATCTTATCATTTATTACATATTAGAATATTTTTGTATTGTTTATGGATGTCTCTCTCTCTTTTTTCGTTTACATGTATACAGTTAAATTAATTCACAACTAATATAATTATGTCGATATATGATATTGGCTCATCAAAATACCGTATCAATGTCTTAGTTCCTTCATTATCATTTTGTATGCTACGATAAGCATTTTGAGGCGGCATCCTATATATGTGTGAAATGCAATGACTTTTGAGCTTGAATACTGTTCTTTATCTCCATATATTTCTAAGTAATACAGATACAGGTGTGATTTTGATGTATCTCGATCATACCTCAAATTTCAATTAAGAATTTCCATCATGCAATTTTCCTGTTTTATCCTGTTTAGAGTTTAGAATAGGGGTGCATATAAAAAAAAATAGATGCAGTTTTTTGTATTTATTTATCATTTTTTTAAATTATGAAGCAAGTCCAATTGAATTGAATATTAAAGTGGAATATTAACAGGACACGCATTTTGATGATGCATATCTGGGTTTTGCCTTTGTAAGTTAAATGCACTGAATTTAAATAGCATTGACTTGTTAAGTAAGATTATTGTCTGAAGTACCATATTCTAGATAGGTAAATAACGACTCAATTTAATGTTAACTTACTGTTTAATAAATAAGTCATCCACTGAGTTCCATTTATGGTCAAAGTTCCTCTTGTATGCGGTGGACAACAATAACAGCATCCGGAATCTCGATCCCGACTTATCACATAGAGAAACATACAGGATTGTAAACAAAGAGAAAAACATTCGAGGGTACTGACAGACACACCAACAGAAACACACCGAGACGTCGGCTTGTCATTGTGATTTATAGCCCTGTGATATGGTAGAAAACAGTCACAAAAAGATAACATTAGAATAAAGAGTATATTTAAAAAGTTCACTATACTTGGTGAAGACCACATAATTCGATAAAAGTAGTTATAACCTTCCTCCCGTAACCGCGATGCATTGTACTGAAACTGAGTTGAATAGACCTTTTTTTTCAATTGGAGGCGTGGAAGTTTTCAAAGTTCTGCTTTATGCACATTTCATATTGATTTATAACATTTTCCTATGCAGTTTGTTCTATTTAAAAATACTTTATTGTATAGCTTTCTTAAATAATTAAGTAATATACAAAGGTTTTCCCAAAATGTTGTAGATAATCGTTAAGCAGCACTGATAAGGAAGCGGGGTCTGATTTATACAGTAGAATTATATTATAAATACATTTTTATTCCTCGCCAGATATTGAAATAATTTGCAAATTAAACTGTATTAGAGTAATAAAATAAAAAGTCGTATTCCTTAAAAGAGATTAATGAAATGAAATCGTTCAGAAGAATTACATATTGACTTTTATGACTTTCAAGTCCTTGGTTTCTTTTTGGCTTGTGTGTTTTTGCGTATAGGTAGGTTTTTGAAAGATGGATGGTCTGTCACTCTACACAGAGAAAAATTTGGAATGGTCTTATTGAGAGAATATTATTATAATACAATGTACATCAATAATACAATAACAAATACAATAACAAAAATTTAATCGAATGTTTTCTCGGCTGTCCGTGTCGAGTTATACCCTCCCATTTCATTGTCTACCATTAAATATTTTGATTGTAACAGATAGAAATGTTGCAAATTTCGAATATTGTCAGTTAATGATCCGCGGTGTTGCAACCACTATTGAAATAACGACCACTATATTGAACATGTTGAAATAATTATATCAATAGTGGTTGAGAGTACATTTCAATAGCAGACATAGCTAGTAACCACTATTAAAATACGACCACTATTGAAATAATTATATTAATAGAGGTTGAGAGTGCATTTCAATAGCAAACATAGTTAGTAACCACTATTGAAATACGACCACTTTTGAAATAATTATATCAATAGTGGTTGAGAGTGCATTTCAATTACAAACATAGTTAGTAACCACTAATGAAATACGGCCACTATTGAAATAATTATTTCACTAGTGGGTGAGAGTGCATTTCAATAACAAACGTAGATAGTAACCACTATTGAAATACGACTGCTATTGAAATAATTATTTCAATAGTGGGTGAGATTCATTTCAATAACAAACATAGGTTGCAACAACTATTGAAATAATGATCACTTTTGAAATAAAAATTTCAATATGGATTAAATTTTTGATTTCAATAGTGCATTGAACAATGAATCCAATATATATTGAAACAATTATTTCAAAAGTTGCTGATGCGGTAAAACTTTTCTTTCAATACTGGAAGTATATTTCAATAGTGGTTGAATCCTATGGTTACCATATTGAAATGCACTCTCACCCACTATTAAATAATTATTTCAGTATAGTGCTCGTATTTCAATAGTGGTTGAAACCTATGGTTATTATATTGAAATGCACTCTCGCCCACTACTGAAATAATTATTTCAATAGTGGTTATCACCTATGTTTGTTATTGAAATGCACTCTCAACCATTATTGATATAATTATTTCAATAATGGCCGTATTTCATTAGTGGTTACTAGCTATGTTTGTTATTGAAGTGCAGTCTCACCCACGATTGATATAATTATTTCAATAGTGGTCGTATTTCATTAGTGGTTATTAACTATGTTTGTTATTGAAATGCACTCTCAACCACTATTGATATAATTATTTCAATAGTGGTCGTATTTCAATAGTGGTTACTAACTATGTTTGCTATTGAAATGCACTCTCAACCACTATTGATATAATTATTTCAATAGTGGTTGCAACACCGCGGTCTTATATCCTTATATTATGACTTTCGGAGCATTTCATCAAAAATTATTTTCTAAGATGAACATTAAATATTTTTCTTATATCCATCATTTACTGTCCTTATTTTAAACTTATACACTAAAGTATCAATGCATTTAAATGCTAAGACTCTTGAGCATCAGCAAATACTATAATCTTTTGGGGGCTGGAATGCCATATATGGAGATAACGAACAGAATTAAGGCTCCAAAATCCATATAAAATACACACCAGAAGCAGAGCAAATATGGACCTCTAGACGATTCTGGTTTCATCAGCTTGTTTGTCAATAACTTACTGTGTATTAAAAAACTTCTTTTGTGGGTATGCTCTTGCGTATAGAATCACGTGAAGAGATTTAAACCCAATATGGAAGTGATAAAGGTTGATTGTTACATACATATAAGCAAGGATAATTGACGATTGAAAAATAAATTCATCTCGTTTATCATAAAACGCCTTTTTGTTAGGCAACCATATATATGACACCATCTGGTAGGCAATGGAATAAAAAAGAAAAATAATTTAGTAATTCATTTATTGTAGATTGAAGGCTAATAAATTACATCTCATTTCTTAATTGATCAATGTTCACAAATGAAAGCTTGTTGAACAGAGCATGGGTAGTCGTGCCATTTACCATTTTTATGGAATACTGCACAGTGTTCCTTGTTATATTGTGGTTGATTTTTATCCCAATTCGTGAAACTCATCCTTTCTCCCGATGAAAACCATCTTCATTCTCCCTTTTTTGCTAAATCAGTACCAGACATCCATATACGATCTTTAAGAAAACCGGGAATCCACGCGTTCTCCTTCCTGTCATTTATCTCCACCAAAGACGATTTTTTCGTGCGACAATACATTTCTGCTTCGAAAAAGTTGACTTTTTTCGATACATATTTATAACAATGGTTGTTAAACTTTGTCCATCCCTTTCTGCATTGTGTAGTTTTTGCAAATGAAGCATTGGAAAATTGGTCAAGTTTAAGTTCCAGAGAATTTAATTTGTTCATCACTTTGGAACTGCAGGAATTCTGCGCGTCTCTCGTACATTTATTGAAAGAACACCCGGCGTCGGAGCAGTGGGTTTCGAATGTCGCACTTCGTACCAAGGCAGCTCTCTTCTGAAGAGATTTGAAAAGCTGAAAATGAAGTTTCCCAATATTTGATATCAGTGTTCCGTCCTGCTGATATCCATATGCGACCCAGCTGAATGCAATCGTGAAGAAAATCAACGAATAGAAACCCATTGTGAACTGGAATGTCTTCTCAGTTGACAACTAACAGAGTTTTCTCGTTTTTCAGCTTGGTCTATGTATACATGTATCTATATATTGTAGATCACATTCGTAATGTTTTAATTGCGTGATATCTTTATTTGTGAAGTGGCACGAAAACTATTATTTGACATGCAATGTTTTGAATATACAATTATTGAAAATTTACTGAAAATAAAACAACTTAGCCTTGAGATGAAGACGAAAGATTAATTTTTTGGAAGAGGAAGGATAACTCATGGTGGATAAAAAACTGAATTAAAAGGAAAAAGTCAAAAATAATACTCTCTAGTAGTGCATTACTATCGCGTGTTAATTGATCATTTGCCTAATCAGAATTTTTTTCCAAATGCCATCTTTCCCAAAACAAAGGTTGTGAAAATTGTATTGGTGACAGGAATCTTTAGAGACCTCCCTTTCAATTACTTGTTGGGCACTGTGCACCGTTCTTTGTCCAGATAAAACTGGCTTTCAATGAGAATGTTGAATTCGCTGTAACATCAATATCGACATTTGTCAGTAGCATGCCAGGATTTAAAAAATATATTGAATATTGAATAAGTCGAGAGATTTTAGTTCATACCTACATGTAAATATATATTTAATTATATTTTTAAAGCATCTCTTAAAATTACAGTTGCAGCATCTTAAGGTCGATATTAGCTTTTTTGTTTTAAAGAATAACTTTATCTAAAAATTTTGAATTTTATTTTAATTTTTTTAAAATATGAATTGATGACGAGGTTATATCGGATATAAAATTAGATCGGGTATTGGTCCCAAAATTCACAATTTTCCCCTCATCTTATTTTATTCAAATGTTTTTCTACTTGAACCTTGCTTTACTTGAACAACATTTTTATTGATAGATTTAAACATTTTCACATATGATGTGTTATTTCACATTATTAATTTTATTAAACACGAGAAAAATCTAAATATAGGAAGGAAAAAAAAAATATCGTTAAAATTTGAGAATAGTAGAGAAAACAGGGATTAGCCAATATTCATTTGAGTTAAATTATTTATTTCAGTTTGGTTAAAATCAACATATATGCCCTACATAGTAGTATCTTTTTATGCAAAAGGGAAAACTTTCGATCTTTTGAAATACAAGTAGGAATGGCATAAATGGCATTAGTATTATTTTATTCTTAATGTCCAGGGAAAAGGTAATGACATTGACCTGGCCTAGCCTCTAATATTAAACGGTCAAATTTAATCTCACTTATACCATCACTTAGTGATATTGTCTTCTTGATTCTGTGAAAATTTTATTAATTCTTAACTACAAGAATTATGAGAAGAATCCGTTATTAAAAAGAATGTGACGAAATACTGTTTTAGCTCTCTAGCAAACAAACAATCTTACCTTATTAAAACATTTTTGTTATGTAATCCTTTGTGCTTTTAGTACATTACATGGCATAATAGATTTGGATATTTAAAACCTGTACATTAAGTCACCTGTAACCGTACATTAAGTTGACAAAACTCTCAATTCTTAACTTAATCGACAGCGTTTTGTCAACTTAATGTACAATTAAAGGTAACTTAATGTACAGGTTTTAAATGTTGAAAACAATACATAATTAAAATAGGCAATTAAATTTTTGATTTAATGCACAATCATTCATAAATATCAAACAATTGTATATGAAATGTTCAACAGTATATCATCTTTGGTAATGACAAATCCAACGCAAAAAAGACACATGTGTAAATCCTGATGCATAATAACTCTAGAACATCCACATCCAAAAGTTTCTTTATTAAAAAACAAACGTCTCATCCTCTTCACAAAATTTGTTAATGAATGCTGGACGTGGTAGATCCATTCCATGAATGTTTAAAATATATCCAACAGCAATTTAAAATTTAAAAGAAAAAAGGTTATTTCCAGATGAAATAATCTCACTAGATGCACTGCAGGTGGAATCATTTTTGGGACAGAGATCACAAATTTTATCTTTTCATACACTTGCCATCATCTGAATCCTTCATATTTCCATGAATTATTCCATTTACTCTCTGTTGCTATTTATTGTTGGTTCAATTGTAGGATCAAACTGTAATAGATTTGTGGCCCGTTTTTTGTTATAAACTGTTTCCTCAAACTTCATACAAGGGGGTCGCCGTTGTTGTTCTCAAAGAATATTTCGTATCACAGTGTCCCTTAAATCCTGATTGTTAACAAAGATTTGCGATAGTTTTTGTCAAAACTTGAACACCAACTTCAGAATCTGCAAACCTACAAGCATCTGCTTGTGTCTACCTACTGCAGAGTATTTAACACCCTTTGGCCCGTATTTTGGAGAAATATGTATTACTTTCTCCATCCGATGAGGACATCTTCACTCATGAAGCTTTACATGGGAAGTGGTCAGAAATCATGTGAGCTATCTTTTATCCATTAAGTTAAACAATACAGCTATTGTTTTCGCCCCAACTTTCTGGACAATCAAATTTGTTACGTAATCATAGCAAATACATCACCATCACCTGGGACAGTTTATTAAGTTAACAATAGAGAAAATGTTTTAAGTAGGATAAAGTCCTCAAACTGTCCATTCTGTGAGAGAAACAAGAGGCCCAGGGGCCACAGCGCTCACCTGAGCACATCGGGCTTGAATTTATTCCCCCCCCCCTCCAGGCGTTCATCATTTGAACAAACTAGAATCTACACTACCTGAGGATGATTCCTTATTATTAAATATCACTAATCATAGCTTTGAAGTACTTGAAAAGAAGATTTTAAAAGGTTTCCCTTTATATCCCTATGTAAATCTTGGGCCGGCCATTTTGGCCTCATCCTAGCCCCAGGGGTCATGATTTGAACAAATTTGAATCTACACTACCTGAGGATGATTCCACATGAGTTTCATCTTTCCTGGCCCAGTGATTCTTGAGAAGATTTTTAAAGATTTTTCCTATATATTCCTATGTAAAAGTCGGGTCAGCCATTTTGGCCCCACCCTTGCCCTGGGGGTCATCATTTGAACAAACTTGAATCCAACTACTCTTATTCCACAAGAGTTTCATCTTTCTTAGCACAGTGGTTCTTGAGAAGAAGATTTTTAAAGATTTTTCCAATATATTCCTATGTAAAACTTGGGTCGGCCATTTTGGCACCACCCTTGCCCCGGGGGTCATGATTTGAATAAACTTGAATCTACACTACCTGAGGATGATTCCACATGAGTTTAATTTTTCCTGGCCCAGTGGTTCTGGAGAAAAAGATTTTTAAAGATTTTTCCTATATATTCCTATATAAAAATTGGGTCGGCCATTTTGGCCCCACCCTTGCCCCGGGGGTCATCATTTGAACAAACTTGAATCTACACTACCTGAGGATGATTCCACAAGAGTTTCATCTTTCCTGGCCAAGTGGTTCTAGAGAAGAAGATTTTTAAAGATTTTTCCTATATATTCCTATGTAAAATTTGGGTCAGCCATTTTGGCCCCACCCTTACCCCGGGGGTCATGATTTGAACAAACTTGATTCTACACTACCTGAGGATGATTCCATATGAGTTTCATCTTTCCTGGCCCAGTGGTTCTTGAGAAGAAGATTTTTAAAGATTTTTCCTATACATTCCTATGTAAAACTTGGGTCGGCCATTTTGGCCCCACCCTTGCCCCGGGGGTCATGATTTGAACAAACTTGAATCTACACTACCTGACGATGCTTTCACATGAGTTTCATCTTTCCTGGCCTAGTGGTTCTTGAGAAGATTTTTTAAAATTGCCATTAATTTTTAACAAATTCATGATTATCTCCCCTTGGAAAAGGGCATGGCCCTTCATTTGAACAAACTTGAATCCCCTTTAACCAAGGATACTTTGTACCAAGTTTGGTTGAAATTGGCCCAGTGGTTCTTGAGAAGAAGATGAAAATGTGAAAAGTTTACAACGACAACGCCAACGACGACGACGACAACGACAACGACAACAACGCCGACAGACAACGGACAAATTTTGATCAGAAAAGCTCACTTGAGCCTTCGGCTCAGGTGAGCTAAAAACTATTCTCGGCCCTTCGGGCCTCGAACAGTTCTTTCTTTCACAGAATAGACAGTTTTCGGACTTTCTCCTTTACTTAAATACAGGTGACTCTCGATGGCTCGAACTCCGATCTCTCGAAGTTCTCTATCTCTCGAAGTGAACCCCCGGTCCCGTTTTTTTCCTCTATATAACTAAGCAAATTTACTCCTGATCTCTCGAACTTCTATCTCTCGAAGCTCTCTATCTCTCGAACCAAAACCTGGGTCCCGTTACACATATTTCATTGAATTTTACTCTCTATCTCTCGAAGTTTTGATTGCGCGTGTATACACGCCAGTCAAGCGTAAATTTGATGCAGTCTGGACTTACCTGGAAACCGTGAAGGCTTTGGGCTGGCATGGAGGTGTTAATTGGGTGTTTACATAGATGACACTACACCTGTGGGTCGTCCGTGTGTTGTTATAATTAATTGGTTATTATTCACGGGGTAAATTAAAAACAAATTCACAACTTATTTTGAATTGAAACTGAGACGATAATTTTTTTGAAATAAATTTATAGATGTTCGTTTCAGTAAGTTCTCAGAGACTACGAACTTTCATTTTGATTATACAGAATCTAAATAATCCCAGTATTGGAAACATTACACAAGAAATTCTTTTCTCAAGGACAGAATACCGATTAAGAAAAATCTGTTGAACACTAAGGACCCGATCAAGCCGCGGAATAGCCAAACCTACAATTGCTATTCGGGTTCCAATCATGAAATAGGGACAAATAAATAACCCTTCGATCTCTCGAACTTTTCTCGCGGTCCCTTGAACTTCGAGAGATCGAGAGTCACCTGTACTTCAAATTTCTGATTGATCGAAAGTCATGTATGGATGAACATTTGCATTCACGAAATTGAATCCGAAGCTGGTATGAAATTCAATCTATTATTTAAATACATGTATTTCTTATACAATTGTAAGCACGCAATATTGATTAAAATTATATGAGTTTTACAAATATTAAACTTTGAAAGGTACATAATTTCCAAACCCTTAACAATACGAATATATTTTAATGTCCAAAATTTATTTTGTATCTTTATATAGTGTACAATAATATACTTGAAATATATACACTGTAGCATGTGAACATTTATAAAAATGATTAAGGTCTAAGACGTTGTCGTTTTGGGGTATTCTTTAAAACCTTTTTTTTCAAGTTAAGATTTATATGTTCGTCCGCTCGGCCTCGGATCCTCTCTCTTCCATGTCACCTGTTTTCAATTTTGATGTTTAGGGATGTCCGTGATTGCCATGCTCCAAATTTGTATTGTTCAGAGAATGTTGAGCTTGTGTACGGTTCGTTATCTCCATATATTTCATGCTATACAAATTTATTATAAATATTTTTATCTTAATTAATTGAAAAATCTATTATTTGATCTTTAATCTGATTATAATCAAAACCTTTGATCCGTTCACATAGATCGCTACCGATCTACACCCAGGTTGATCACTTATAAATAAAAAACATATTATCCTGTGATACCCCATCATGTAGGTATAAGAGGCATCAGAGGCTTTTTCACAATTTTCATGTATCTTCAAAAGATAAATTTAAATATGAATTTGATCGCTTTGATCAATTTTGAAAAAAAAAATATTTCAAATTTGATGCAAAAAGGGCCATATCAAATTAAATATGAATGACAAAACTAGAGCCAAGTCCAATTTATCAAAATTTCGTCGAAAGCATGAGTTGGGTTCAAGAATAAGGAAGATAGCTGAGTCATTAGCCAGAGGGTTTTGTGTTGTAGAATAGGACATATAGCGCCTACCTGAAAGTAAACTGGTGATAAATTTTAAAAAGAATAAAATTTCTTTGAACCTTGGAAATCCACCAGAATTATTGTTTCTTAAAAATGTGTATGTAGGACAGGTTAATCCCTATAGTGACCTAATTTTTTTCAAAGAAAAGAACAATGTGCGACACGTCAAGAGTATATAAGGAATGAATCTCATTTCAACTTATGTTATACGATATCATATAACTTGTGGCAGTTTACGCTTTTTTATAAACCGTTTCATTCCTTATCATTGAATTTCAATTAAGACAATGAGACATTTTTTTTTTCTCCGGAAAAAGGCTTCAAATATAGCATATTTTAAAAGTAACGTCAAGTGGAGTATACCCCGGTACGTTTTTTTGACGTAACTCATTGTGGCGTAGGCAAGTTATGTTATACAAAATGGACAAAACCTTTTATCCAATCAAATGACGTGTTACAACTAGAATTAAATTATTCTCAATAAACATTTTAAGTTGGCTGCTGTGAGAAAAAAGCCAACCAAATATTTCAATTTCACGCCTGTGTACTGTCCTTAATGTATATATTTCACCTTATTGACTTTAACGGTACCTTGATGACGAGAAGTTGTCTTTCTTTTCCTATTTGCAACGCCGGTCACTCTGCGTCCAAAAAAAATATGAAGGAAACAGCCAGCTCTTGAAAATGAAGCCAAGTTGAGGTGAGATCAGGTTTTGGTGCCATGAAGACTGTAGACACCTTACGAAAAATACTTTAGTTAACTATATCATTGCCATCAACAAATTAACTTTATTTAAAATTATCCTGATTCTACACACAAGTCCTCTCAAGTCATCAAAATAACATTGGAGTTAATTGTCAACTAGCTCTTAGTTTTTGGAGACACTTTTTAAACAATTTATTGAAATCAGATTGTCACTCGTAGTGCTCGTTTTGAAACCGACCTGTTTTTATCTTCCTATGAAACAAAATTTATACAAGAGAATATGGGCAAGTTACTTTGATCCACTGTCCTGTATCAAACAGTTTCCAAAAATAAAGAGACATACAAATACACTGTGATTTAAAAAGAAATATTGAAATGCACACTCCTTCATGGCCCCTGATTCTACCTCCGATGTTTTGGAGGTCCGTGTTTGCTCTGCTCCTATTTTGTATTGTTTTATGGACTTTTGATCATGAATACTGATCGTTATCTTCATACTTTTTTTCATAAAGATTTAGATTTGGCCAATAGCAAGAACATCAGTTACTGAAACATGCTTGAAAGGTATACATAAACATAATTATTGTTACATATTCGATTGTTTGTATAATATTTAACGTCCCTATGGAGAATTTTTCACCCATATGGAGACGCCATGAATTGCCGGTGGAGAACTGCAAACTTTGTCATATACTCTGGACTCAGGGCCATTGAGCAGGGAGGAATGTTTTGTGCCAGCACCTACTGCGACACGAGAACTCGGTTTATACGGCCTCCTCAGAAGGACCGGTATCCAAGTTCCACAGTTGGATTCGAACCCGCGACGTAAGGACCAACTCCTTACTTCGCGACGCTCGAACCACTGTGCCATGCGAGCGACGTTACATATTCGAAGCGAGCAAAATTGGAATTTAAAAATTAGATGTTGTGAATGCCAATGTGCACCTTTATCATATTTATGTAATCATTCAAAACGGTATATTTTCCTAAGTAAATACTGTCAAAACATCTACAACTTCAATTCAAACATTTCAAAATTGCGAATTCTGTCTTGACCCCAGTACTGCAACCACTATTGAAATACGACCATTATTGAAATAATTATTTTAGAAGTGGTTGATAATGCATTTCAATAACAACATAGTAAGCACCCACTATTGAAAAGTTATTTCAATAGTGGTTGAGAGTGCATTTCAATAACATACATAGTATGCAACCACTATTGAAATACGACCAGAAATAATTATTTCAATAGTTGATGGGAGTGCATTTCAATACCAAACATAGGTTGCAACCACTATTGAAGTAATGTTCACATTTGAAATAAAGTTTTCAGTAATAATGATTCCAAAGTGATTAAAAAATTATTTTGATAGTTGCTGATAATTAATACTAAAACCACGTTGCAAGACTTGTTGAAATAACTTAACTATTAAAAAATACCAGGATTAAGTTTGTACTCAAATTTATCAGTCTTCTTCCTTCATTTCATTGTAGTCTTGATATTTTAATTTCAGCGTCTACATGTATTTATAATCATTTCCTTTCAAAATCAATGACAAAAATGAACTTCATACAACAAATCATTTCAAAAGAGGATTTATTAATTGATTGGAATTGTCTGTTGGTTTTCCCCGTTTGGGCCAGATTCAACGGGAGCTTGCTTATAACATTTGCATACATGTTTAAATTTTAGGTCAGTCAGTATAATACGGAGTGTCCGTGTATTATTTGAAATTTATACAAAAAAGGAAAACAAAGCGACTTTAGTTCTCATATACTAAACTCAGCAAGATATTTTATTGTGTTAGAAAACAGAATGTGTAATTCATTCTTATATTTGTTTTTATATTTGGGATATTCTATAGAGCTAGCAATGTGGTTTTGGTGTTGAAATCATTGTCAGCAACTATTAATTATTCTAATATCTATTGGAAACATTGTTTAAAGCACTAATGAAATTAATATTTCAATCACTTTTGAAATCTTTATGTTAATCACTATGGAAATATTTATTTCAAAAGTAAACATTGTTTCAACAGTGGTTGCAACCTATGTTTGTTATTAAAATGCACTCTCAACCACTATTGATATAAATATTTCAATAGTGGGTGCATACTATGTTTCTTAATGAAATGCACTCTCAACCACTACTGAAATAATTATTTCAATAGTGGTCGTATTTCAATAGTGGTTGCATACTATGTTTGTTATTGAAATGCACTGCCAACCACTATTGAAAGAATTATTTCAATAGTGGTCGTTATTTCAATAACGGTTGCAACAACCCAGTACAATCTGCATTTCATTGACCGATTTGACATGTTTACTAACCTTGCGAACTTTCTGCAAACATTCCATTTTTTTAAATGATTCCTGCAATCTTGCTGCAAGCTTGAAGAAATTGCTGCAATGTTTGCAGCAAAATCGCAACTAGTGGAAATCATCTGCAAATATCTAAAAAGTATTATTATAAGAAATTCGGTGTTTGGAAATGCATTGCTAGTAAATTCAACTTCTAAGTGTACAAAATATCAAAGAATTTTGTAATCTTGGAAAATATTTATATCAAACTTCCATTAGAAGATTGAATTATTTAGTTATTTTTAAATGCACAGTTTCCTGTTAAAACAAATCTGACATAGTTTACTTGCTATATATATTTATTCTTTATGCTCACTCTAATACAGTCATACATTATTGTTGATATATTAAGTTATTGTTATATGTAATCTGATGAATCGTATGACGCAAAGAAATAAAGAACTTGACTTGAGCAAGAAAGATTTCTTTTTGCGAAAAATTTTGTTTATTGCAAGCTAGCAGCAAATTTGCTACAGGACTGCAGCAAACATAAGTGTTTGGTAAGGGTTTTCATCTTCAAGAAAGTTCCAGTCAGTATAGATGTGCTCCAATTCTTTTGTTTCAAAATTGTGTTCATATCTACAACCAAACCAGAAAAAACTCAAGTGTAAAAGCAGGGTCAATGCTAGAAAAAAAAAAAACATCTAAAAGAAAGTAAAAAGCAATGATAACATCCCTGCCAAGACATTTTACACTGCACTATTCATTTCCATTTTTATGTAAAGAAGTAATTTTTATGTCCCAGTAATCAAAGATTAGGGGGTTGTAGTTTTCCCTGTCTGTCCGTCTATCTGTCTGTTTTGTCCGCAAACTTTTACCTTCGATTTTACTATTGAGTTGGTAGGGTTACAGCTCTTTTATTTCACAGGTGCATTTCTTGTGACAAAACCTTTTTCGGGTACCACCAATTTTGACCTTGACTTTAGAGTTTGTCCTACTTTAACCAAAAATATCAGA